TCCTGTCAGGTCAGGGGAGGGAGAAGAGCTACTGCAGGAGCAAGTCTACTTCTGCCCTCCCCCAGGACCACTCCCTGAGCAACAGCCCCCTCCCTCCGTGAATGCTAGGCCCTTCCAGGGAGTCTTGCTTTCCCTTGGGTGCAGCCCCCTCCCTCCCAGCCACCAAGGGGGGAAAGAGAGCCCCACGGTTGCCAGCCTTGTCCTGAGTGGGTAGGGCCACTTGGTGTAGGGCAGGGAGAGTTCTCCCAGCTCCTTCTGAGATGGAGATCTTGGCAGAGGCTTTCCCACCAGGACGCAGGCATGCCTCGTGGCCCCCCCCAGGAGCCCCACAGATGGGGCAAGTCAACTACTTTCTTCAAAGCCATGAAGTTGAAAAAAGTGAAGTTTCCTTCTCAGGCACCTGGTGTCCTATTACCCCCCCCCCCACACACACACTAGCAGAAGTGCTGCCCGCTCTCCTGCAAGGGAATGGGTACAAGCAATACCTCTTGCTGCCTGTGTTGTCATCCCGCACAAAATTCTCATTATGCTTGTTGATGGCATAGTTGGTCAGGTGCATACAGATGTCATCCTGTGAGAGAGACATTGGGAGGGGCAGCCTGATTCTCCACTCCTGAAGCCCCTGCAATTCTCCCCTTGCCCACCTGCTTCACCTTCTCCTTGGGACCAGGTCTGCCAGTCCGGGGAGCCCTGCAGGCCCAAGGACGGCGTTCACCGTGTCAGGTTCTCCACAGACGTCCCCAAAGCCCCATCAGACACCAAGAGCTTATCTTCCTACAAAGCGAATGCCAGTTCCTGGGCTTCTTTACCAGGTTGTTGCTGTTGGGCTCGATGTACCTCATGGTGGCAAAGCGCGCCAGCCCCTCCTCATAGATAAAGATCTTCAGGGGATCGCAGGAGGTGACCAAGACATAAATACGCATGTCAAACTTAAAGCCATCGAGGAGGAAGGGCTACAAAGAGAGGATGGGAGTTGAGGACCTGCACCCGAGACCACATTCTCAGCTGGGGCTCTTGCCCTCTGTCACAGGGCCGGACAACTCTCCTGGGCCTACCTTAGTAATGTACTGCTGGCAGATCATGTGCTCGCCATGCTTTATTTCCTTGGGGTTCCGGGTAATGAAGATGCCCCGCCCCTGGCAGCCACTATCTGGCTTGCAAATGTACGTCCTGTTTTTCCTCATTCGTCCGTAGGCTTGGAAGTCCCCATAGCTGCAGAAGGACAACACAGGGACTGGCGTGTAACAGACGCCGTGTCCTTCCGGCTTCCCCTGACGTCAACTGAGAGGGTTTTCTGTGGCTGGTACGACCACAGCCGCCTCTCGTTCACTCACTCAGCTGGCAAGCACCAAGTGCGAGGGAAGATGCAGTACTCCTTGGGAAACAGCCTCAGCATCCGGTTGAGGTTGCGGGCCAGCAGGTCCTTGCGGCAGATCTCAGCCATGCCAGGAAAGTGGTTGATTTTCTGGAATGAAGCAAAAGCAGGAGAAGGAAACGGAAGTGCCTTTGCCTAGCTTTCTTCGTTTTGTTGCTCTGCAGGATCTTTGCCCCACCTTTCAGTCACGGGATACAACTTCCCAAACAGCTTCAACATTTAAGAAAATAATTATGAACACGTAAAAAAAAGCCCCAACCTTCACAAAAAATAAAGGCACATTAGTAACTTTTTATTCATTTCACCCAATAACTAAACAAAGTGAGCTGCTGCATAAAAGTATATGGGGGGAAAATACTATAAATAGGAACCCAGCTATGGCCCCTCTCTGGTGAATCCCTATTCTGCATTCTTCTGAGGTTCTTCTAATCTTTTCCCACTATTGGGAGCTACAAGGAACGGGCAGTATAAGCCCAGCCCTGGGATAACCCAGATCCTAGTGCCGCAGCCTCTCCCTCTCCCAAGTCCTCAGCTCCAGGAGAAGGCTCCCCACTTTAAGAGCTTGGCAGTCTGCCAGCCTTCCCAAGCTAGAAAAGAACTGAAATCAGAACTCTTAATTTTCTCTGCTCCCTCCACCCTGGCTGTGCTGGGTACCTGAAACCTCTTCATTTCCATGACACGTTCCAGTGAAACCGAGCAGTCCGTCCAGTAAACAGTCCACTCCTCATCCTCCCCCACTTCTTTCAGGCCGCAGCGCCTAGCAGCACGCCTCACTGCAGAGCAAAGTAAACAGATGGACAAAGCTGTTTCCAAGAGGCATCCAGGTGATCTTCTGGCCTTGCTTGGGAGACCAGAAGCTACACACAGCTGAGCATCAGGAACGATCATTCAGATTATTCAGCCCTCCAAGGGAGTCCCTGGAATCCTCCGTTTGCCAGCAAGGGACCCAGTGGCTCTCCTGGCCCAGACTGGACGCCCCGGATCATTCCCGCATTACTGCGCAAAGCTAATAAAGGAAGTATCATTACATCCTCCTTTGGGATGCTTCCCCCTCCACACAGACTCCAAAAAACCCCCGGAGAGCTACTTCTTTATACCGGGGAGAAAACCACGTTACCTCCGGTTATTTCACTTCTGTTTTGATTCTGTGCCAATTTGCGTCGTGGCACATCCCGTGAACACCCCGCGTCTGTGCCCGGGCGGGAGGAGGAAAGCGCCGGGACGCCGCCTTCACTTACCGCTTTCGTATTTGCAGTTCACCAGGTTGATGGAAAGCAGCCTGGGGGGGAAACCGAGAAGGGCGTCGCTTGGGGCGGGAGGGGGAGCCGCCGGCGCCGCGGGCCCCCCACAAGGAGAGGTCCCGGCTGGCCCAAGAGGAGGAGGAGGAGGAGGCCCGGGGGACGCCCGCCCGCCCGCCGGGAGCGCACCGGTGCTTCCGCTTCCTTTTCGGCCGGGGCTCCTCCGGCTCGCCCTCCTCCACCGCGCGTTCCTCCGGGCCGGCCCCGGGCTGCTCCCGGCTGGGCTCCGGGCCTTTGTCCGGAGAGGAGCCGCGCGGAGGCTCCTTCCGCTCGGCCTCCAGCCTCTTCAGGCATTCGTTGGCAGACTCGTCCGACAGGCCGCCCTCCTCGTCCTCCTCCTCGCCGCTCTCGTTCTCGGAGTCGCTGCTCTCTTCGCGGCCGACCCTCATCCTCTCGGCCCCTTCCGCCAAGAGCACCGGCCGGGGCGCCGGCGCGGCGGCGGCGGCAGCCATTATGACAACCGCAACGATTATTACTGTGAGCCGCCCGCCCACCACCTCGTCAGCGGCCGCCCGGGGAGCCGAACCGGGACAGGCTCCCCGCGCACGGGCCGGGGAAAGACCCGTTCGCGGCCTACCTGCCCGCCCTCTCGCGCCCCCGGGCACGCCGCCCCCGCTCACCGAGCCCGGCGGCTCTCGCGGGGCAGCAGCGGCGGCGGCACCTGAGGCTTCCTCGGGCCGCGACGCCGTCTCCATGCCGACCAGGAGCCCCGCCCCTCAGGCTGCCTACGGAAAGCGCGCGGCGCCATAGCAAGGAAGCACGCGACGGCGGGAGGCCCCGAGTGCTTTCGTCATCTCTGGGGGACGGCTCCTTTGACGCCTTCGCCGCGGGCCCAGGCTCCGCCCCAGCACGGGCGAGCGTCGGGCCGCCCCGGAAGAAGAAGCCGTCCCGGTCCTGTCCTCAGGCGCCCTCCGGCGGGAGCGAGAGGACGCCCGGCTAGCGCGGGTGAAAGGTGCGTCGGATTGGGCGGAACGCGCGCTGGGGTTTGCCGGTGTGGCGCTGGCGAGGCCGAGGGGATTTGCGGTAAAGGCTGGACGGATTCTACGCTGTAAGGAAGAGGCGGATTCTGAGCCCCCGAGGTCAGAGAGAGCGAGAGAACAGAAGGCCGGGTTGAAACGGTGAGGAGCCGGAGAGAATAATAGGCAAAGGCGCAGTGAACAAGGTTGATTTCTAAAGACAGAAAAGAAGGGAGAGACGTGATGAATATCTTTGTGGAAATGAAATTTGATAACCTTTCTTTTTCATGCCATGAATTCTTTTGCTGACTTCAACTTCAGCCCTTATTTTAGATTGTTTTTCCTAGCCCAATTACAAGATGCTAGATTTACATTAAAGATTTTGTGGCTAAAATCTTCTGTTTGATATATCCTGTCACAGAATACCAGACTTAGCAATAGGCAATTGTGTTTGAGCACAACGTGCTATCCTGTTATAAATAAAACCGGATTATGGCTGACTGCAAAAGTCTGGTTCAGGTACATTGAAAGCAAAGGCTCCCCCCCCCACACACACAGTGGAATGAACCTAGGGACCCAGGCCCATGCGCAGCTAACTGTGTTGGACAACTCTCAGCAATATAGCATCTCTTGGAGCTACCAGGATATGGTGAAGGCAGAGGGTGGGGTGAGCTTTAGAAAAGGGGGACCCCTCTGTTCAGCTGACTGATTCTTACAGGTGGCAGTAAACTAAATCTACATGTGACTGGTGTGATTTAGGGTTGAAATAGGAAATAAGATAGAATCCCTTGAAGAGGGTGGCGATGCCTGTCACCAGTAGGGATCTTCTAAGATACCACAGGATTAACTGAGCTAACTGTAATCAAAAATTCAGCCTGTGATTTTCTTCCTAGCAGCAGTGAAGATCTTCACAAATGCCTGCAGGCCCCTTTAAACACCCCCCCACAAACAAACGAGTTTCTTTCTCAGAGGTATTTTATTTTCCTTACAAGTTATTAAACTTTGTGCTTTATTGTCCAGCAATTCTGTCTCCTCATTCTTACTCTGTAGTTTGTACATCTTGTTAGTCTGTAAAGAAGAGTCCATGGCTCATAAGTGGCTGGGTTCATCTGGTTTAAACTAGGCTTATCTCAAAATCGTAAATTCAGTCCGAACTTTATATACAAAATCAAATTTGAGAAAAGGAGTTATGTGCCCCAGAAGGACTTGCAAAGCAGAAACCAGCATCATACTAAGCACCTTGAGCCCAGGTGCTCCCCCCCAACTTCCATCAGGCTGGCTTCTTCTGGAGCAGCCCCACCCCAGAGCTGGGGGAGGGGGCTCCATGTGGCAGCGAGAAGCTCGGCATCCTGGCAGGGGTGGGACCCTGGCGCCTGGTCCCAGCCCTCATGTCAGGGAGGCATGGAGGCTACTCTCTGACGAGGTCCACAAGCTCATCCTGAAGCTGGGCTAACTGGCTGTCTGGGAGGAGATATTGCTGAATTCTGTGAAGCACTGAGGCCTCAGTGAGGCCTTCGTATTCCTGGACAGTTTTAGTGGGCAGATGTCCTGCCAATTCACAAACTGCCACATTGAAGGCGAATTCTTCTTTGGTACCAAAGCAGGCTTTCCGCACCCAAAGAATGACCCGGACCCCAGGTCTTGCTCTGGAGCCCAGGGGGCCCTCAGGGGTAGCCCCCCGCGTGGCAAACAAGTTGTGGGCAATCTCCCGCTGGGACAGATGGCAGGTGACCCGGCAGATCCGATGAGCCAGCGGCTCCAGCTGCCGCCCATGGTCGCAGTAGAAGAGGAAGGCGGGTGCCGGGGCCTCCCGCAGCAGGTAGAGGCCCGCTTCGGGCAGGAGGGCTTCGCAAGGGGCGGATTCCACCGAGAGCTCCCAGTCCAGGTAAAAGCAGTGCAGGTGCAGGTGGTTGACAGAGGCGAAAGCCCCCAGGCTGTTGAAGCCCAGGCGGAAGCCGGGGTGGGTGCTGAGCAGCACAGCGTCCAGCCCTACAAGCAGGGCCTCCGGGGTGAGGATCTGCGGCAGGGCCAGCGCAGGGTCCGGGATGAGAAGCACGTGTCCTTGCTCCAGCGGGCTGACGTTGATCGCCACCAGGGCCCGGGGCGAGCTGGTCAGGGTGGGGCAGCCCCGGCACAGGCAGAAGAGGACCTCCTCCCGGCGGATCTGGCCGAAGTTGAATTGCCGGGGATCGAATCTCTGCCGGACGCTGCGGGCCTCCTGGGGCCGCCTTCTCTCGGTCGCCCGCTGGACGTTGAGCTGGGCCACGAGGCCCAACCTGCCCGGAAGGACCCGCGTCTGCAGCTCGCCCAGACGGTAGCGGAACAGCCCCCGCCGGTCGTCCCAGCCTTCCCGCAGCGCCCTGTCGAAGCGCGACCAGGCGGGGCTCCTGGGCGCCCCCGCGCCGCTTCTCGGCCACTCCACCCCGCGCAGCACCAGCTCCTCCGGGTCGTAGCAAAAGAGCTCCGCGGGGCTCCCGCCGTCCCGGCCGGCCGCCCCGACCCCCTCCGCGGTCATGCTGAAAGCGAGCGGCGGATCCCGTGGCGAGACTTCCGCAGGAGAAGCCCCCGGTGCCCGCCTTGGCCGCGCCGGGTCGAAACTGGCGTGGCAGCGGAACCGGCTCCCGGGCGCCCTCCGACCACGCAGGCGCTCCGCCTCCCCAAGCCGGCTGGCTGGCTGGCGCGCTCTCCTTCCCGGCGCCGCGGGGCGGTCTGGCAGCCGATCCGCCCAGGGGCGGGCCGAGGAGGAGAACAGGGAGAGTCGGGGCCGCGCTTGCCAGAGGCTCGGATGGGGGGCTCGGGCAGCCGCCTGCCCCGCGACCTGCTGGGCGAGTACCAGGTGCGTCCCGGGAGGAGGGAGGGAGGAAGGGATGGAGCCGCGCTGGGGGTCGGGCGGCGAGGGGCCCTGCCTGCCTTCCTGCCTGCGCGGCCCCTGACCGGCTCTCTCCCGCAGGAGCTGACCTTCCTGAGCAAGCAAGAGATTCTGCTGTGAGTACGCATCGCGCGTGGGGACGGGCCGGGCCGGGTCTGGGTTGCTCCCGGAAGCGCGCCGCAGGAGCCGAGCCAGCCGCCGGCGCCATTTCCGCGTCGGGCCCGGGAGCGCGCGCTGACCGCCGCCTTGCCTTGCCTTGCCTTGCTTTGCAGCGCCCACAAGCGCTTCTGCCAGTTGCTGCCTCGGGAGACGCGCGGCCAGGCTCTGCAGACGCGCGTGCCCAAGAGCCGCCTCCTGACGCTGCCCGAGCTGCGGGTGAGCCGCCCCGGAGCCTCCCTCGGGCGGGCGCCGGTGCCTCGCCTGCCCGGCCGCCTCCCCCAGGCTGGGCGGCGGGGTGGGGCCCTCGGCTGGCACTGAAGTCTCCGCCGGCTCTTCTTGCAGGCGAACCCCTTCCGGAACAGGATCTGCCGCGTCTTCTCCACGGCGGAGAACGGCGAGGATGCCCTGTCCTTTGAGGACTTCTTGGACCTGCTGAGCGTCTTCAGCGACTCGGCCACCCCCGAAATCAAGTCGCATTACGCCTTCCGCCTTTTCGGTAGGGCTCGGTGCTCGCGGCCGGGTCGAGGAACAACCGCTCCGCCCCACAAGCAGGGCCCGTTGGAAGGTTTCCGTTTGGGGTGGTTAGATGCGTTTGATCGCCTGTTGTGGGAACGCTGACTTGGGGTTTGGTTCTGGTGGTACTAGAGAGGGAAGAGTTCTCCAGGTGGTGTTGTGGGATCTGGTCTCTCCTGGGCCTCTTACTTTGAACCGGGTCAGATATTCCTGGCCCCATTTGCCTTGCCCTGGAGCCTGTTCTAACAAGGCGAGGAATCTTAAAACTGCCCAGAGTTAATCTGGTTTAACAACATCATCCTCTCCTCACTTGCTGGATTACCTGGGAGGAGTAGCTGTTTCTCTCTGGATCCTTCAATATACACCTGTTAACAGAGGAGAACCACTTTCACCTGCCAAGGGGGAGGGCTGTTCTCTCACGCCTGAATGTCCTTGGAGCTCAGACTTTCCTCCTAAAAACCCCCGTCGGAGCTGAGAAAGCTTCTAGCTTTGGGGACGCTAAACCCATCTCCCTAGATTCCGATGATGATGGCACTCTAGACAAGAAGGATTTGGAGAATCTGGTGAACTCCCTGACAGGAGAAGGAGAAGACAGCAGGCTGAGCCCGTCGGAGATGGAGCAGCTCATTCAGAATGTGAGTGCTGGGGGTACATCTCAGGCGGGCCGGCCAGAAGGGGCCCAGCCAACTCTGACCCACAACGCTCCCTCCATTTGGGCAGATCTTGGAGGAATCCGATATTGACAAAGATGGGACCATCAACCTTTCTGAGTTCCAGCATATAATTTCCCGCTCTCCAGACTTCACCAGGTAACTCTCTGCTTTTCTTGGGTTGAGCTTTGGCCAAATCATTGGTGTTTGGGGAGGAACCTGGTTAGCCTTTGGTAACAAAGTCCTCCTATCTTTTTCTTCCAGCTCCTTCAAGATTGTCCTCTGATTCTTCCCCAACTTGTTAGAAGATTTGACATCTTGGAAATGGCTCATTTTTCTCACAGGACACATGAACCCAAACCTTGACTCCGTCTATCCTTAGAGCCACTTAAATCATGGCCTTGCAGTCATATCCATTGGCCGGTGTTTCTGTAGGGAGGGGCTGGGCAAGGACATTGGCAGCTGCGGCTGGTATTCTTTGCTCCCGCCTCACCGGGTGGTTCTGGACGATGGCTTGGGGTTGCTGCTGTAGCAGATCAAAAAAAGAGCGAATTGTGGCAGGGCTTTAAAGTCACTCCTGCTGCTTTCTGTCACGGAACAACGGAGACTTTTCCAATTAAACCCTGCTGGGCATATGGGAAGGTCTGAATCACCAGACCATTTTTCTTGCTTTCTGAATGGTGGGGAAGAGCACCACCCATAAGCCAGCCTCTTTGATTTTTTTCTTGCCATGATTTTGTCTGATTTCTACACTTTTGCTAAATAAAACTCAACAAATGGAACCCACTCATGTTCCTCCATCTTTATTTCACCTTCCAAAGAACAAGCTCATCTGTATTGCTCCCAGCACAGCAGAGGGTGCTCAATTAAGCCTCTGAAGGAGTGAAGAACAGAAAAACAATTTTGCCGTCTTCCCAGTCTTTGACACACTTCACTCCAACCAACGCTCTCATGTAGGTGGGAAGGAGAAGGACTGTGGGAGCCCCACCCAGTCGTCGTTAAATAGCTGTAGCAGCTGCCAAGCCCACTTTCCTTTGGGAGCCCAAAGCATCCCACGAAGATCTTTGCTTCCGACGATGCAAGGAACTTTCCCTGCAGGAATCCTGGCGGTCCTCTTGGGCAGGACTTGGGCCTTCCAGGGTTTAACACCTGGGGTGGGTGAGGACTTGGCCTCTTCCCAAAGCAGCTGCACCAGTTGGTGGTACAGGCGAAAGGGGATTGTTACCAGCGAAGAGATCTGCTGCAAGAAAATGGCTTCCCCCCTCTTTAGGCCAGCCCAGACATTTAGTAATGGGGCAATTATTCTGTTGTATGTATGGCCCTGAGCAGAGACCTTCAGCCAGCCCTGAAGGGTGCTCCCCGATACTTTCTGCTCATCAGTGGATATCGCCTATTAACCACTCCCTTCCTCTGGACCAGGTCTCTGTTTTACACACAAATCACACAGGAGTTTTTCTGACACTAAACGGTCCACCATTTTTCTACCTACTGCACAGTTCATTAGAAGTCAGATCAACATATCTTTCTTCAGGAAGACAGGATGCTCAACCAGAGCATCTCCTTTCACAGGTGATTTCCAGGAGGAACTTTGATACACAAGTTACCTTCCCAGCAACAGCCCCTCCCACACAGGCCAAAGAAACGGGAGCCAGGTGCCCGCAGACACTGAAGAAACCCATGGGCGAGTTGTCCCATTCCGTCCCATCCTGGCAGTATTTGTAAGGACTGGGCCGCTTGAGCTGAAGCGCAGCCTAGAACATGAGGCTGGCCCTCAAGGCTATGTGACATTACTGCCAACTGCCATGCAGGAACCCCGAGGGCCTGGCCCTGGTCCCCAACCGAGTGGGGCTGCCCTTCTGCCTGTTCCTCTGCCAGAGTACGATGACACCGGAAGACTGCGCCCTGCTCCTTTCAAGCCCACAGAACGGCGCCTCTTGGGGAAGGTCATACAACTGAGTCCTGGATCTCAGAGCCAAGGCGAACCCGAGGACGCTGGACAGGACCCAACACCTCCACAAAAGTCTTGGATATATTAAGTGGCCGCTGATCAGACTCCAGAAAAGCCACGCGTGGGCAGGTTAAGGACTCGTGCCCAGGTGTGCTCACCATGAGACTCTCGCACAGAGCCTGGTAGCCCTTGTGGTCTGCCAGAGGACCAGACACGTTCAGGCCACTGAGTGGAGGCATATTCTCCGTGGGCAGGGCCTCTCTGTCCGGCGAGGTCCTGGGATGGGACCATCTGCATCGGCCCTGCTTGAGGCAGGCCTTCAGGCTGACCTGATGCTTGTGCAGCGTGAAAAGGATCAGCAGCATCACGGCAATGCTGAAGAGCACACACATCACAAGGAACTCGGTCCTGTAGGTCCTGCTCTCTAACAGCAATGAGATGTTCTCTCCTGAGATGCTCCTGGAGGTGCTGAGGGTCTTCAGGGGGTCTTGGGGAGGCACCCGCTTGGCCCAGAGTCCTGGCTCCACATTCACACAGTAGCTGGCCATCAACTGCTGGAAGCTACCTTCCTGAGACCAGCATTCGTAGCGACCCCCCTCGGCTGGGCTCCCCACCAGCAGCAGCTCTCCCTTGGGCAGCTCCAGGGAGCCGAGGGCAGCCCCGTTGTGCACCCAGCGCCGGGAAGCCAGGTTGGACAGCACTGGGCAGGGCAACAGCGTCACAGCGTTGGGCTGGAGCACCACCTGCTGACATTCGGGTTGCTCTTCTGGGAGGGAGAGAGAGACCATCAGATCTGGCTGTGGCCTTCACAGATCCAGCCTTCTCAACAGCTAACAATCCCTGCAAGATGCTCCTTGGCTTTGGAGCCAGGAGGGGAGGCCCCGTTCTGCTCCCCTCCTTCCCCCAGCTTTCAAAGCCCAACCCCGGCAGGTCTGACCCGTTACCTGCTGAACGGCTGAGTTCCACGCTGCTGCTCTGGCAAAGCTGGCTTGTCTCAGCCCCTTCAATGTCCTGGACCCAGGTCCTGGAGGGAGAAATAGGTGAGACCTGGGAAAAGGAAGGAGCAGATGGGGCACCCCGAGGACTCTTCTGGTACCCTGAGGACCACGTGCCCCTGTAAGTACACTACGTGTGCCTGAACTGCCATGAAGAAGAGCAGCAGGGGACTGGGAGAAAGGGGGGGGGTGGTTCTGTTACACCAAATGGGAACTGGGGGTTGGAAGCCCCCTGTGGCCAGATCTGAGAAGCACTCACACTGGCTGGAGCGGCCAAAGGCCTGGGATGAGCAGCTGACAGGCCCCTCCACTCCAGGCACAGTAAGGGTCTCCGGCCAGGACACACTCTCCACAGCTCCGGTACAGGCTGCAGTTGGCAACGGGCACCTGTGCCAGAGCATCATACGAGGCAGCATAAACCAGGCCCTGTGGGGAGAACAGGAGACGCTCCAGCAGGAGCACCAGGGGGCATTTTTAACCAAGAGGCTGTGCCACAGTTCCTCTGCCACCTCCCAAGGGCAGGGGCATTGCCTTGGCATCAGGACACACACCTCTACTGTGATTAGAAGAGCCTCCCCCTTCTGTCCTGTACCCAGCGGCATCCGCCTCTTGCCAACTAAGCAGGGACCCGGAAATGCATCCTCCCCAAGCAGAAGAGAGCAAGGAGGCGGCGACAGCAGCTGTCTGGGTGGCGCTGATTCAGAAGCCCACCAAACGCCTCGCCCGGATGCCGGGCCAGCTTCTCTCATGCAAAGAACTGGGACCGGGGGGGTCCCCCCCCCCAGGTCTCCCCTTGACTTCTGCTCTTGCCTGGGTAGAGTCCAGCAGCAGCTCCAGGACAGGTTGCTTCGCAGGGAAGAGCTGGATTTCCTCAATGATCCTCACTCCTCGTCCCGTGATCACTGCCTTATGCAGGCGGCCATCATCTACGAGACACAAGAGGTGCCCAGTGACAGCCCATGGGGCGTCCCCGGGCCCCCCTTTCCTCTCTCCCTCCCTGCGAGGAGGTCTTTTTCATTTCTGGCAGGCCCAGTCCACCATCTGAGCTCCAAGAAGATGAGAACGACCCAGGTTCAGGTTTGGGTCTAGCATCACCTCCTCTGCCCTCTTTCCTTGGCTTGGCATTGACCCCCCCACCCCCCCGTTTCTTCAAATTCCATAACCGCCAACTCACACATTCTCACACAAAGCCATTTCTACACTGACGTGGATCAGTCTGAAGTCGTGGCAATGCCACCAAGGCAGCCGCGGCAACAGAATAAGTGAATCTGCCAGTCCTGCTCACCTGTGCCCAGAAACAAGACATCGTAGGTTTGCCACAGACTCTGCACACGCTGCACACTGAGCTGCTGGTAGCGGGACCGGGACTGCACGAGGAGGGCCTGGCTCCGCACCGCCCTGTTCATTAGGAAGTGGTCCTTGAGGTAGTTCAGGACCCGGTCCGGCATCTGGAGTGAAGAGGTGATTTTCATCTGCCGGGTCTTGTGGTTGATGCACTGGGAAGAGCAGGAGTTTACCAGTGAGCCCTGGTGGAGGCCTGGGGGGTCTTGGGCAGAGCCCTTGCCCACCCCGGGGCCCCCTCCCCCTCTGGACTGCTCTGGGAAGAAAACCAAAAGGCTTTGGCGTTCTTCTTTGGCTTGAGGCTCTGCGGGGCTCCTACCATTCAACTGTTTTAACCAAGTGTCCCAACAGGGACTTTTTTGGAAAGGAAGCTTGCTTTCTTTTTCTCAACAAACAAACAAACTGGAATTTGGGGACTGTTAAGTTTGGAGGTTTAACCCAAAACAAAAGGTAGGAGCAGCACAGGAATTTACAAAATTTGCAGTTCAACTCTTGTTTTTAAAATATGCTGTTAAGATGTGTAGATGCTCAGAGAATTATTCTGCCAATACATGCAGGCGAAGACTAGCATTCACCACTTACTGTTCCGGGGCGGGGTTCTGGCACAGGATGGACGTCTGTGTACCACTGTTGTGTCTCCCGGTTGACCTCTTTGTAGAGCCCATCAAAGGCTTCCTTCACATCAGAGATGGGGAAGGCACACACCGCTGCAGCCCCAGGGCCTTTCCTATCCCTGGCAGAGAGGGGCAGGAGAGGCAGCGTGGGCCTTGAGGTGCCCAGAGAACACCACTTCCACCATTCGCCTGCACGTTGGGCCTTAGTCATGATGGGCCTCTTTTCCTAGACCACCACCCTCTGTGGGTGCTTTGGTGCCAGCCCCCCCAAGGCTCACCACTGAGAGGTAAAGACCCCATAGAAGACCGTCTCTGGCCAGCCATCGCCTGACGTCAACACAAACATGTCCTGAAGCACGTTGAAGGGGAAGCCGTCCTCTGGGTGGGAACATAGCAGCTGAGCCTTCAGGAAGGTTGTCCATCGTCGCTGGAGCACACGCTCTCCGCCCAGGTCACCCTGGGAGGGCAGGAGGGAGGAGGAGGAGGAAGAGGAAGCCAGGAAGAACAGGAACAGGAGGAAGGGAAGCAGGCTTGCTAAAGCTTGCCATTCCCCCGGCTGAGTGGCAGCAGAGCCACTTTCTGTGCCTCCCTGGACACAGAGATCACCTCTGACTGGTGCCCAGCCACTGCCCTCTACCCCTCCGGCCTCGGGTCCCAGCCCAGGTGAGCCCAGCAAATCTTTCTCCCTCAACCGAGCCTGTTGAGCCCATGGGAAGCTCTGGCACCCACGAGCAGGACAGAGAGGACGAGGAAGCAATGCCAGCTGCCAGGACCCACCACTGCAGAGACGGAGGGCAAAAAGCAGCATAAGCAGATTTAGGTCCCCCCCTCCCTCACATGCCCCTCACCTTGCACACACGTGCAACACGGGACACAACAGTGTCTTCAAAGAAGTCAAATTCCTTGCCGGTTTCACTGAAGAAGAAGTAGATCTTGCCATCTTCATCCTCCTGGGCGCTGCTCTCCCGCAGGAAGGCTGAGCCCACAAAGAACGGCTCTGCCCAAGAGAAAGAAAGCGGGCCGGGCCCTTCTTTTCCTCCACTTCCTTTAAGGGCCCCAGAAAAAAAGGGAGGGGGGAGGGGAGCTACACAGACAAAGCTGCTATGACTGTTGCCATTGCTGGGAGGGTCCTTCAGAGCAGCCCCAGGTGCCAGTCTCTGGGTCCACCCACCCTTGGCAGAAGAAGGTAAAGAGGAAGAACCTCCGCCTTCCCCTTCCCCACTTCTCTCTCCCATTCATTAGGGGGAAGAACTTCCCTCTACAAAGAACTCATCTGCATTTATTTGGCCAGGTGGGATGAGACGCACAAGGAATTGGTCTCTGGTGCAGAAATGTCTCTAGTGTACATGCAAAACAACAGAATGATGATGATAATAATACCAATAAGAGAGGGAAGTAGAGATAATCAGATGGATAAATAATAACATTACAGCTATACTAAATGGGTAAACACACACACACACACTAGGCAGAAGTAGGTGTTCAGTAGAATGATGCCACAAGGGGAAAATTAAGAGTGCTTTTATATGGTTAGGAAGGCACTGACTTTTCTAGCCTGCCCTATCTATGTTTCCTGGTAAAATACATGGGAAAATCCCATAGGAGGAAAATTCCACTTAGGGTTAGGGTTAGGGTCACCATGAACTCCTAGAGCAAAATGGACGTCACCAACAAACTCGGAGTGCTTGGGTATGGTTAGGAGGGCACTGACCTTTCTAGGATGCCTTATCTATGTTTCCTGGTAAAATACATGGGAAAATCCCATAGGAGGAAAATTCCACTTAGGGCTAGGGTTACGTCACCATGAACTCCTAGAGCAAAATGGACGTCACCAACAAACTCGGAGTGCTTGCGTATGGTTAGGAGGGCACTGACTTTTCTAGCCTGCCCTATCTATGTTTCCTGGTAAAATACATGGGAAAATCCCATAGGAGGAAAATTCCACTTAGGGTTAGGGTTAGGTCAACATGAACTCATAGAGCAAAATGGACATCGCCAACAAACTCGGAGTGCTTGGGTATGGTTAGGAGGGCACTGACCTTTGCACCCTGCCTTATCTATGTTTCCTGGTAAAATACATGGGAAAATCCCATAGGAGGAAAATTACACTTAGGGTTAGGGTTAGGTCACCATGAACTCATAGAGCAAATTGGACATCACCAACAAACTCGGAGTGCTTGGGTATGGTTAGGAGGGCACTGACTTTTCTAGCCTGCCCTATCTGTTTCCTGGTAAAATACATGGGAAAATCCCATAGGAGGAAAATTCCACTTAGGGTTAGGGTTAGGTCAACATGAACTCCTAGAGCAAAATGGACATTGCCAACAAACTTGGAGTGCTTGGGTATAGTTAGGAGGGCACTTCTAGGCTGCCCTATGTATGTTTCCTGGTAAAATACATGGGAAAATCCCATTGGAGGAAAATTCCACTTAGGGTTAGGGTTACGTCACCATGAACTCATAGAGCAAAATGGACATTGCCAACAAACTTGGAGTGCTTGGGTATGGTTAGGAGGGCACTGACTTTTGCACCCTGCTCTATCTATGTTTCTTGGTAAAATACATGGGAAAATCCCATTGGGGGAAAATTCCACTTAGAGCCTTCATGGTCCTGCCCATGTTGGTTTTATGGCAAGGGTTGAGAGCTCTGGGACTCCACCTAGTACACCTTCATAGGATGCCCTGGTAGTGACTCATCCAAGTAGCCAACGAGTAGAGACGTCAACATCCAACATCAGAGCGCAAACACAATCAGCGAAAGTTACCAAAAGGCAAGGACCTCCGAGGCCATCAAAAGAGCTCTCTGCCCTGCTCTGAACTTGTCCGAACGTGAGTGGCAGGGCTGTTATCTAAGTGCTGTACAACTGTGACGCCCCCCCCTGCATGGCCCCATCATCGCCCTCCCCCTCCTTTTATCCATTCATCACCCACCTTGCATCCAGTTGAGGGAGCTTTCTGTCTTGATGGGCGGGCGGCTGCCAAGGCTACGAAAGATGGTGGGCTCGTTGCCTTGAAACTTGCTGACGGTGCCCGTATACAGTTCACCATCTGAGAGAAAGCAGCCGTTATAGGGCCATGACCACCCGGACCTCCTCACCAAGAGAATAGAGAGAAGACCACCCCCATATTGTCCAATGAGCCCAGGGAAGATCATCCTTCCTTGCAGGCAGCAGCCCCTCCCCCTCAAAGGCGCCCAGGGTAGTCTCTTTGAAACTCCCAAAGCTCCTTACCAACTGTGATGGCTGTAGATCTGTACTCCGGGTCAAAGGGGCAGCGTCCCTTCCCGTCCTCCAGCAAGAGCTGCCCGGAAGGGTCTCGCTGCAGCTGGAAGGCTGGCAGGCTCTGCAAGGGGGAGGGCAATGATTGGTGATCCCCAACAAGAAAGGGCAGACACACAATCTGAGCTGGTCGACTCTACACAGCCCCACTTTCAATCTGTCCCCTCTCCTGCAAGGCTCAGTGCTGCGAATGATCTTCCATGCAGTTTCTCTCCTGGGAAAGAGCCTGGATGCAAATTCTAACAGGGAGCTCACACGAGGAGGTTGCATAGCCAGGCAAAGCCAGACGTTGTTCCCATCCACCCCCATAGCGGGCAAAGGGGGCTGTCCAGAATATGGCTTCAGGCTGGATCTTCCCACCAGTTGGGAGGAAGAGGGCTTGATCCTGCACCAGGCTGCTGTCAGGCAGAGACAACCAGACCCACAGATGTTCTGCCTATAATGCAGGAATCTCCCCAGTCTGGCAGCCTTCTCTAGGGAACAACTAGATAAGGCTCCAAGGAATTCAGGGAGGGCCAGTTTGGGTCCTTTCGCAGTTGAGCGCAGTGACTCCAGTCTAGCTCTGTACTTGATCCCCACTCCCTGCCAGGCTGGGTGGTTCCCAACAGCTGTCCAAGGCAGCTGTGAAAACCCTCACCAGCGACTCACTTTAGCCTGGGGCTAAAACATGCCTTATTGGGAAGGTCATTAATTTTTAAGCTAGATTAAAGGCCTGCAACATTTCAGGACTCGGAGTTTGTTAGTGCAGGATAGGCAAGACAAAAATAACTAGGAACCTGGCTCTGATTTAAATAAAGTTAGTCTTATTATTCTGCTCCACAAAACATTCAACCATCTGCAACCAGGGATGGCCTCAAGATATGCCTTGCTGAGCTAAAGGAGAAAAATGTGGGCGGCGGGGGGGAAGAGGGGGGTCTGGGATGGTCCTCACAATGTAGGTGCAGGTGGGGCTGAAGGCACTGGTCCCACAGGTGTACAGGTGGGTCTCGTTCAGCTGCAGCAGGACCTTGATGTAGTTGTGGCAGTCTCTCTGCACAGGGAGGGAGGAAGAGGAGAAGGTGGCGCTCAGGACCAGCTGGCCACAGGAAGCTCCTACTGAGTTTGGGCTGCTCTGGCTGCCCCGGGAGGGGGGGAAGAGGCAACGCCCCGATGGGTCCCAGACTCCCAGCAGAATTGAGCATTGCCCTTCTTGCCAGAGTTTACCCCCCCCCCAGACTGGCATTACCCACCTGAGGGTCCTTGCCCTTGAAGATGCACTGCTGTTTCTTTTCCTCCTCGGCGTGCCAGGTCAGCTACAGGAAGGAAAGCAGGCTGCCGTCACTCACCCGGCAACGCCAGTCATGGGCAAATTGTCATGCTCCGTTCCAGGTCCAGACACTAAGAAGGAAGCAGCCCCGCGGCCAGCCACAAACCCCATCTTTTCTTACTTATACAGGCAACTGCTGGAGGTGAAACCACAATCAGATCCCCCCTGCCACCCTCAGCTTTTCAAATAGGGTGGCTGTGTGATGAGATGGTAGACAAGGGAAGTCACCCAGCTGGAGGCTGGAGGGAAGAGCGTTCTCACCTCGACCAATGAGGCACGGCTGCTCCTTCCAGCATGAGGACCAAAGCCTGGCTGACTGCCTTAGATACTGCTACGGTAGTTAGGAACGCCCCCCTCTGAAGCAGGGAAGGAGAGCCAAGAGACTAGGGCATCTGAACTGACCTGCTGGTGCTGGGGCCCAGGAGAGAAGGAGCTGGTGTTCAGAGCAAGAAGCATCTCGCGGGCACCAACGTACAAGACCCGGCCATCTGGGCTCAGCATCATTGTGGTATAGTTGGCGATTCCAGGCATCTGAAAGTCTCTCCACATCCGCCTCTGGGGAGAATCTTGGGGTGCAGAAATGGGAAGCAGGAGGAGAAATGACCGTGAATAGATGTCGTGCCCCAGGGAACCTCTTGGGCATCTAGCCTTCCAACAGTGGCAGAGGCTGCAGGACCCACGTGCCTGTTTCCAACAAACAGCGGGTAGAGGGGTTTCCATTCTGATTTACCCGTTTGGCATTCAAGAAGCTGCTGCGCAAATCCAGCATCACATTCAGAGGTGAGCAAGCTAACTACCTCAGGATCGCTCCCTTTTATTATTTCCTAAGTCCAACCCCCCAATTAGAAACATCTTCCCTTGATGCCGCCCGACCGGTGGGCTAGCAGCAACAAGGGTGGGCTGGTCACATGGTCTCTGCACCAGATATCCTGGCTTGCCTCCGAGCACGCTTGGGGCACAACTGGCTACGCCTGTGGCCTCTTGACTGAGCCCGGACTCTCTCCCTGTTAGCAGGCAAAGCTGCTGCCCACGACCCACCTGCAAGGGGGCCGCCAATGGATCCAGGATTTCTCTGCCTTCCCCAAAAGCATTTTGGGAAAGCTTTGCTAGGCCCAAGCCAGGCAGGCAGCGCAAGCCGGTCTGTTGGCAGCCATAGCACAGGAAAGAGACCACTTTCAGTACAAGAAGAGAGCAACGTTAGCAACACAGATGCTACACGGTGAAGGGTGTGCATTAATGTAATTTTTAATTTCCTGCCAGACTTTCTCCCATCCCCCCTACCTCCCGCCGTGATATGTGGTGGAGAAACCAGCCCCAGGTTTGGCCATCCAAGTTTTACTATTTATTTAGATTTAATTTTTATTGTTCATTGTGTGTTTCTGGCGATAGGACTACTGATCTCCCAGGGACCAGTAGCCTTATGGAATCGCTTCGCACGCACTACAATGCAGGGGCGATCCGGGCAGTAATCCAGGGAGAGATTATTCTGTCAGTGAAACAGAAAATCAATAGCTTAAATCAAGCAAAGCGCCTTCCAAAAATCTGCCTGAATGATGGATTAGAAAAGCTGGTCAGAAACCCAAAGCTCTCTCAGAGCTTTCTGTCTTCCCTCCTGAAGCCATTTTCCTCTGTAAATTATAATGTTGGAAGGGACCACAAGGATCATCTAGTCCAACCCTCTGCAAAGGGTTAGACTTCTGCAGATGGAGAACCTGCAACTTCAGCAGATAAACTCTTCCCTGCAACGGAGGGCTCTCCTTGGGCCTTTTTCCTCCCGTTACATGAGATCCAGGCAGCTGCAACCTGCACCCAATATTTCTGGGGCTTTTTACTGTGACCACGGATGGTGGCTCCTGACCTTCTTCCCTTCTGCTTGTCTCCCTGGACACAACCCTCCTCCTCCCTTCCATCCGGCTCCTCCAGACCACCCTCGTCCTATATCGGAGCCCACCCTCGTCCTATATCGTCTCTGCTGCTGTCCTCCGCTTTCAGGGACGTGCACAGAAGTGCTACAGGAGCCTCTCCTGTCCTAATACTGCTCAGGAGAGGGACTGCACTGCTTTTGGACAGCTGCTTCTTAGTACAGCTCCTAATCATTTGGTCAAGTACAGGGTCTCTTTTCTTCCCACCCCCCCCACCCCCGCACTTGTGTCCCAGGAACAACAGGCGAAAAAGACGGTCCTGGCTCACCAGGCAAAGTCCAGCATCCTTTGGACTCCCAAGCCTGGGGTCCTGCACCTTTAGTTCTATAGCAAGCAGCTACCAATGAAAACTACCCCAGCTGGAAACAATGGGATATTTTGGAATTATTAGACAAAAAGAAAGGGTCTAGACCAGGGGTAGGCAACCTTGGCTCTTTTATGACTCGTGGACTTCCAGAATTCCTGAGCTCAGGAATTCTGGGAGTTGAAGTCCATGAGTCATAAAAGAGCCAAGGTTGCCTACCCCTGGTCTAGACAGATGACCTCAAATTCTGTGAGCAGTTGAACTAATGTAAAAAGGATTCAGATGAACTGACCAGAATTGCAGTTTTTACTTTAAGAGATATTATTTGCATTTCCTCATGCTGAGCCAAATGCAGCCCTTGCCCCAACACTTGCTCACCCCATTGCAGGACCCTGCGGGGCAGAATATGTGGGCTTCGGGCAGGGCTTACATGGCCTGCTGCCCCTCTCCTCCTCTGGGATGGCCTGCCTCATCACTTAATTCAGCAAAAGGGATGCCTGGACCAGCGCTTCAAGCCCCGGGCACTCTTGGCCTCGGAGCAACTGTGCCAGCCCAGCTGCCAAGCAGAGCCGAGCAGCAGCAGCTTTGGGGCTGGGCTGGGCTGGCAGCTGGGACTCTAATGCTCTTCAGAGCTGGATGGTGCCTCTGCTCCAGGTGGAGCCTCATGGCCACCTGGCAAGGAGTGGTGGGGTATCACTCCCTGGCATTCCAAATAACAGGGGGGAGGGGTGGACTCCTCCAGCAACATGGTGGCTCTGAAGCCTGGCTGAAGCCCCCACCCAGCGTGACTTTGGCACTGCCCCACCTGGAAGGGGAAGCCTGCCCACTGACCTTGGCGGACCTGCTCTGCGCCAATCCTGCTCAGTGGTGGAACCAGTTGGGACTGTCTGAAGCAAGTCTGTGCTTGGTGACAGGCTTGGACGGGCTCCAACTTGCTCTGCTTCAGGGAGGGCTGGCACGCCAAGGCCGGAAGCTCTCCCAGCATGGGCGGCAAAAACCAGGCAAGTGGCACAGCCCCATCCCAGGAATGCCCTGCTGCCAGCCAGATTCCCCCAGCACAGAAATGGATCTCTTTCCCAGCTTCCTATGGGAGCCGCTTGAACGATTGTTTGATCTTCCACAGTTACTAAGTGATCTGTTATTAAGGTTAGTAACATAGTTGGCCTCCCCATTGCCTTTGCTTGTCAGAAAGTCGCAAAAGGGGACCACATGACCCCAGGGCTCTGCACAAATATGAACCAGTTGCCAAGCATCCGAATTCTGACCAGGTGACCCTGGAGATGGTGCCACGGTCGTAAGTGTGAAAAATGATCACAAATCACTTTTTCCAGTGCTGTTGTAATCTCAAACGGTCCTTGAACGAATGGTTGTAAGTTGAGGGCTACCTGTACTTGCTGGTTCTTCGTTCCACAGGGATCCTCAGCCCTGCTTTCAGCAGAGTCTGGCTGGCCATGGGCCGTAATAGATGTATTTGATTTCAGCAGAGGGCAATGGAGATGGGACAGGATCTTGAGGACACGGCCTGTGAGAACAGACTGAAGGAATCTGGGATGCTCAGTTGGAAAAAAAATACAACATGGGGGACTTTATGAGAAATCTACGATTCCATGACTCCAGAGTCATGAAGGGACCACAATGGATAGCAGGACCTACAAAAAGCATCTAAGTATCTCAATGGATCACAAATTGGAGATGAGTCAACAATATGACGCAACGTGATTCAGTCTACAAACCACACAATCCCAAACTGCTTCAATGGAAGTACACATTAAGATCAAGATCAAGTTCCTCTCTAGTCTAAATTGCTCTGACCACACCTAGAAGGGCAACTGCTGTATTTCAGCACCCCCGAAATGCCGTGCCATGATTGAGGGCTACAATTTAATAAAAGGGAACAAGTCCACGAATCATAAAAGAGCCAAGGTTGCCTACCCCTGGCCTAGACCCATACTCCAATCTAGGCAGCCTGGCTTGAGGGGGCAGCCAGGCAGCCCGACCCAGGGCCCAGCACCTAGAGGCAGGTTGACTACCACAGCCCTCTCCCTGCATCCTTCCAGCCCCACAGCCCTCCCCAGTGGAGACATGCCTCAGGTGGAGGACTTGATCAGCCTTTCTCCCCAGAGAGATCAGCAACCCCCCCACCTCCTACCAGCCTGGCAGCCCATCTGGCGAGGACAAAGGGCCAGGAGCAACAACAAAGGAAACCAGTGGTTGTGAGAAATTGGGGGTGGCAAAATCTGTGGAGGAGAGAAAGGCAGCAGCAGAATCATCATCAGCAGCAGCAGAGGCACTTCGAGTTAGAGAGCTCTGATCTCCAAAGCTGAGCGGCTGGCTGAGTGGAGGAGACCAGACAATAGAGGCGTGTAACAGAAGTGAAGGCAACAATTCAGTTTGAGGTCCCAATAGGAAGGGAGGGAAGACCCCAGTAGAGAATAAAAATAAATACAGGACAGAAAATAAAAGCTATGTAAATAGGCAAATAATGACAAGAGTAGAACATTAGAAAACAAGGAAGAATAGGATTAATAAAGAGGTCTCCCTCTGACCCACACATTTTGCCCTCCCGCACACACAGCATGAGCAACTTGGCCAAGGAGAGGGAGCCAATCAGCAGCAGCCTTGAGGAGGGGTTAAGCCAGCCAGGCACCCCCTTGGGAAAGTTTCTTTCAACATATTAATAAAAGTCAAGGAAACTGTACGTCCACTAAAGAGAGGAGATGGCAAGGAAATAGCAGACAGTGGGGAGAAAGCAGAGCTGCTTACTTCATGATTTGCATCAGTCTTCACCCAACAAGAAAGTATAGCTCAACATACCAAAAAAAACCTACTGTACTGCAAAAGACAAACTAGAAACAAAAATTAAAATAAGCAAGAAAATGGTAAGAGAACACCTATCCGACCTTGCCGAATATAAATCACGGGGACCCGACAGGCTACATCCCAGAGTTCTGAAGGAGCTGGCAGATGTTATCTCAGAACTATTGCACAACATCTTTCAAAAATCCTCGAGCACCAGGGGAAGTACCTGAGGATTGGAAAAGGGCTGATGTGGTTCTCATCTTCAAGAAAGGGGGAGGGGGAATGGACTCAGAAAACTAAAGACCAATCAGTCTAATATCAATACCCGGGAAGATCTTAGAAAAGATAATCAAAAAATACATCTGCGAACAACTAGAAGCAAAGTTATAACTAGTAGCCAGCACGTGTTTGTTAAAAACAGATTGTGCCAAACCAATCTTATTTCATTCTTTGATAAAGTGACTCTTTCGAAGAGAAGCAGCAAATGGTTTTCCCTGATAAATATTGTGTTTGAACTCTCCTTGGATCATGCAAATTGTCTGCGGTGTGACATAGGCAAGCACTCACTTGAAGCTGCAATCCCCAAAACACAAGCCAGCCACTTTTACTCCCACTGGCTCTGCCCTCTCTCACATCCTGGAGGGGAACAAGCTTCAACACCAGCCTCAGTTCGAAAACAGGCAGCTGCCCCTCCACACCTCAAGTCATGGGGGGCCAGGATCCAAGAGTGTCCCATCCCAAACACCGGCAGGTCAGAAAACCCCCCCCCCAGGAGAACATTTTGTTTCAAGTCTGGTTTTGTGGGTTGCACTTTGGTGCGTGATGACTCAGGGAGCGCATTAAAGTAAACACTTCATAGCTTGTTCTTCTTGGTCCTGGGCACAAGAAATGAGGATCTGGACGAGACAAAAGCAACTATAAGCTGCTCTTTCTTTGCGGAGTAGTGAAATGTGACTTGTCCTTGCCACTGAGCATTCTGGGAAAACTGAAAAAAATTAGACTTCTCCTTCGGGGTTCAGCCCCCCCCCCCCCAGCTTCTGTGGAATTAAGTCCTATTCTAACTTTTGGCTTTCTGGAACACATTTACTGCCTGAAATATGGAGTTCCTCTGATGGAGTTCCTCTGGAATAAAAACAACATCCACTGATTTGTTGAAAAGTATTTCGTGCCAATGGAGAAAAAAAAAACAACCTGGCAACTTTATACACTCTTTTTTTCATGGGATAAACGTTGTCTACAGCACTGTATTTTTAGCTATTTTTCTCAAAAAAACAAACAAACCCACACACCCTCTTTTGCCTTGTTCTTGTAGTTACATACCCACTCAATTTAGGCTGCCTTTTAAAAAGACACTCTGCACATGCTCAAATATCCCATCCCCTAGGATTCTTGCTCCCCCTTCCTTTGAAAGCGAGACAAAGCAGTTCTTCAGCTTGGCCCTTCCAGCTCAGGAGGGAGTCGCGTGTCGCGCACGAAGCCCCCGAATCGCGGTTTCTCAGGCTGCGAACGCGTGTCCAACGTCGCGGAAAAGGGCGCTGGGGACGGTTCGGTCGGGGAACCGGAAGGAGGGTCGAAATCCACACTGGGGGGGGCGGCTTGGGCCAATTCAGGCTTCTTAACACGTGTGTGGGTGCACCGAATGGAAACTGGGGCCAGCAGGTTCCACTCGGGCCTTTTGCCCCATTGCTACTCTTGCGCATCCCAAAGGGCAGACGGCCGGGCCCAACCGGGGGGGTCCGAAGGCCCTGAGAAGCGGAAAAGACCGGGCCGCCGCTGCGAGCCTCACCTCCGGTGGGCCCAACCCGCCGTTGCCGGCGCCCGGCTTGCAAACGCGCAAGGGGTGCCGAGTCCGCACGACCCTCCCCCGCCACAGCCGCCCCTCCTGCCTTTGCGCCCCGGCTCGGTTGAGGCCGCGACTCCGCCCCGCCCGCCCGGACGCGGCTCGCCTACCGTGGCCGAAGCTCAGGCGCGGCACCGCCTCCCCGGGGGCGGCCGAGGGCAGCAGCGGCCCCAGCAGCAACAGCAGCAGCGGCGGCGGCGGCCCCATGGCGCGAGGGCCCGGCAAGCGGCGAGTGCGGGGCGCGAGGGGCAGCGGCGTCGCCCAACCCAGCTCGCGCCGTCCCAGCTGGCCTGGGCGGGCGTGGCGGCGCCTCCGCCTTCGGGGCGTGGCGGGCAGGCCCGTACCTGAGCAGGAGCCGCGCCCGGGCGGGCCTGCGGGGAGGGCCGGGCCGCGGCGGGCGGCACCTGCCCGACTCCGAGGGCGCTCAGCCCTGGCAGCCGCGGTCCGGGCCGGCAGAGACGTCCCCTCGAGATCCACTAGTCGCTCACCCGTGAACCGCGCGCAGAACCCGCGGGAGGCGAAAGAGAGGCTGCTGCGGAGCCCTGGTGGCGCCCGCTTCCTCGGGACGGGCAGAGTTTGGCCCTTCCTTATTGCTTCGGCGTTCCTTTTCCGATCAGCCGTGATTTCGTTTTTCCCCCAGAGCGGCCTCGTATCTTTTCAGCCTTGCCCGATTGTGTCCTTTGGCAGATACGCTACCTAAACACGCCACTGGAGGCGCTGTCGGCAACCACGCTAGGGGACGGGGCGGCGATCGCTGCGAGCCCCTTCCCTTAGCCTAGGCAAGGGAGGCGACTTCCACTTCTGGCCCATCTTGGCCAGGGAGGAGCCTTCCCCCCCCCCGGAGGATCCAATGCTCTCTGGTGCCAGGCAAAGACCAGGAAGGGTCAGCAAGAGTTGCCGCTGCCCAGGCAGAGTCCAGGCTCCTGGGAATTTTGCTGCACCTGCCCCCCTACCTGGAGCTGCTCTCCGGATTCCTTCCAGCTGAAAAGGGAGTTGGAATCCTGGCATGAGCCAGGCAGGGGCGGTTGAGCTGCTGCTGGACACGCCAGGCCCTGCAGGGGAAGCCAACCTCTCCACCTGCTGGTGCCCAGCTGCTGCAACCCAGAAATTGAACTGAATATTTTATTTGACCAAGTGTGATTAGATACACAAGGAATTTGTCTCCGGGTGCAGCACAGAATAATGATAATCACCAATAAACGAGGGGAGTAAAGAAGATAATAAAGGTAAATAATAACATTACAGCCATACTACATGGGTAAGTATAGATATTAGACAGAAGTGTTCGCCAGAGTGATGGCACAAGGAAAAAAACTCCCTGTCTGGTTGTTTTAGTATGCAGTGCTCTATAGCAGCATCCTGAGGGGAAACAGTTTATGTCCAGGATGTGAGGGGTCTGCAGTTATCTTCCCAGGCCTCCTTATGACCCCCCATGGCCAGCTGGAAGGATGGCGTTAGTCCATCCCCTTCCCTGTGCTCCAGAGGCAGATGGAGCCCTGCAGGCAACACTCCCACTGTTTCCATAGCAACACGTTCCCAGCAATAGCCATGGCAACTGGAGCCTGGGAAGATGGCCCTGGAACCCGAGGGGTCAGCAAGCCAAGCTGGTACCAGCACTTGGAATGGGGGAGGGGGCAAGGGCCAAAGGGGTGCTGGGCAGCGGGTCACCCTGGCCTTTGGCAAAAAAAGGAAAGAATCTCGCCCCACCCTCTCCGTCTGCCTCACGAACTTTGAGGGTCAGCTGCTTTTTCTTTCTACCTCTACTTACCTGTTGCAGAAGGAAGGAAGGAGACCAGGCTGCTGGAGTTGGCCAGCAGGCTCCCCCCTAGGCTGGCAACCTCCTTTGGCAACCCTGAGAACGGCCCTCCCAGCCCACTTGCCTCGGGTGCAGATGGCAGGCAGCACCTCTGGCTGTCCATTGGTTGAGCAGACTTGATTGACATGTCCACTTAGAGCAGGGTCTGCCCCTGCCTGGGTAGCCCTTGACCCCAGTTCTGGACCCTCCTCTGCCCTCAAGGGGTCAAGAGGCCTCCAGGCCTCATGGACGGGGTTGTCCCTTTCTTACAGGCTCTTGAGGGAGGCCCCCTGGATTCTTTCCAGCTCAGAGCTAAGTGCTGGGTGAGAAGCACTGCCTGGGAAGTGGGCACAGAGGAGGGTGGCTGGAGAACCAGAATCCTCTTGGGAAGGTGTGGCTTTTTTGCAGGGAAAGGCCAGTTCAGCCCTCCAGATGGGAGCCATCAGCGCTGGAGAGACTGACCAGGTGTTTATCAAATGCTGACGCCAAAGTAGAACAACTGGGGTATTCTAGTCCCCAAAATAAGCAATTCCATTTTTTTACCAGATTGGTTTTACTAATCAATTTTTAAATAAACAATTGTAAAATAATGCAAAATAAAAACAAACAATTTACCATCCACAAAAGAAAAACATTAAATAAACAAAAACATTGTATTTACTTTCCTCTATTCTGAATCCACCTAATCTTGTTTTTTTTTTAAAAAAAAAAAAAAGCTTTCAGTGTAGATCAAGATTGATCCTTTTTCCCAAAGGAAAAATTAAAATTCTTGATTTAACTGAACATAGCAGCAATTACAGTTGCCATGTTGCACTGGCCGCGATGCTTCTCTGCATCTGAAATTCAGAGGCTGACAAGGCTTAGGAATCCCTCTGGCTACAGGAGCATCTGGTTGCTGCTTCTTGGTTGAGGATCTTGGCTTGTCTTCCTTATCCTGCATCTATTTCAAGCACAGAGTCACCCAGGATGCTATTTCCTGTCAAGTAGGCAGTACTGTGCATCGCCCAGGAAACAGTAAGGAAAAGAAATGAAAAGCAGGTAATGGAAACATGTAAAACTTGTTTATACCATCCCTATCCATCATGCCTCTCCCTGTTTGTCTATCCCTGCAAGCCATTTCATCTGTTACCTTTTGGCAATGGCAGTGGAACTGCCTGCCCCATGAACTTGTGAATGTCCCTTTGCCCAGGACAGTCTGAGAATTTCTGTGCTGAGAAGGGTTGGGCTAAGAAAGAGAGCTCTAAGATCCCTTCCCCACCAAGCATTGTTTATACTCATCCACTGCATTTCTTCCTTTGCATGTTTCTTTGCAGCTGGATCTGAATTCATCTCCTCTCCAAGACCAGACCACTTCAAGGCTTAGATATTTCAAGGCCTGGCAATTCAGTCCTGGCTTTGCCACCCACCCACTCACGTTCCTTTTGATGTTTGTCCCGACACCCAGCAACATGGAAGTTGGAATCAATGTCCTCTTCTGCCCTTCCAAAATTCAGCCGCTTGGCGATGGCTCATATTTATGATGGTCGCAGTGACCTGATAAGCAAAGTCAATGGGGAAGCCAGATTTGTTTAGCAACTGGGTTACTAATTTATCAACTGCAGCGATTCACTTCAGAGCTGTGGCAAGAAAGGTCATAAAATCGGGCAAGACTCAATGTCTCACTTAACAACAGAAATGCAACAGCACCATCACCAGACTGTGACCTGACCAGACGATCCAGAAAGACACCGTGGTTGGCATAAAACCCAAGACATGACTCAAAAGGCCCAAGACGGCGGCATCCTCCACTTTGCGAGGAGCTCCTTTGTTCTCCTGCAAATCCCAACAAAGCCAGTCAAATAAAGGCTTGAGAGGCTTTGTTGCTGCATTAAAGTTTCTGAGCATAGCTGGGAATTGGGCGCACAGCAGCCAGAGAGCTTTTGTTACCAAGCTCAGGCGTGCAGGGCGAGTTGTCAGCAGGGCCACGAGGGTTGCCCCTGTCCAGCAGAGGCTCCCCAGGCAGGGCTGACTGCAAGAGTCATTCCCGTGCCATGTGCCCCACTTCCCACCCCTTGTAGAAGGAAGAGGCTGCTTGGACCAGCTATACCTTCCTAAACTGCTTTTCTTTGCCAGATTAGTTGATTCCTCCTGCTAGCTGAAATTGGCATGATCCTGACCAAGATTACCCCAAAGGCTTCCTTTTGTGTTCTAAGCCAGGGGAGCAGATAAGCAAATAGCTGGCGCCAAGGCAATTCTCTCTGTTGTGTGCTTGCTTGCCATCTGGTAATCGTCTGGTAATCGCTTCCTCTCCAATGGTTGTAAACACAAACACTGATTTCACCTTGCTATTCTAGCATCAATGAGAGCCACAAAGGGCTGCAGGATTTACCCCTTTCCCCAAGCTTTCTTGTGAGTCAAATTCCAGAATGTGAACCTTCTCTGCCCTTAGGGCTCACCTGGCTGATTGGGGTTGTATCTTCCTGACACATAAGTATTCAGGGTCAGTTTCTTAATAAACCTTTTTAAAGATGTATTGAAAGTCTTGTCTCTCGGTATTCTCCTCCTTTGGTGAGCATCCTGCACCTTCTAAATTAAGTATCGACATGCAGATTAGCAGAAACAAACCCCAGGAACCCAAATCTGGAGTTGGCCCAACGGAGAGGCATGGGACTGTGGGCTGGTTTGGATGTGGACGTGGCTCAACTCGGGGCCTGCCACCTGTTCCTCCAAGAGACCCGCTGATTCCTTTTGCCCGGATCTTCAGAGTGGCTGATGTGCTCTTGGGTCAGGGCTCTGCCAGAATCTGGCCCCTCGTGATCTCGTGAGGTCTCCTCTGCTCAGGCTCCTTGTCTCACTCTGAGGATTCTGGTGAGGCTGTAACATCCACCAAAGCCATCCAAAGCTGCCATCTGGTCCCTTTGCGCAGGCCAAGCTGATAAACAGACCTTAAGAAGGTCTCGGGAGGACCCTTTCTTAGCAGAGATATAACAGCAGAATCTTGAAGCTGCCAGAGATTGCACCCATCCCGTCCTGGCTCTCTTTCTCCTGTTCTCTCTCTCGGCCAGGACTGAGCTCTTGTTTACTTTCTCTGATTGGCTCTCCCAGTGACTCTTGCATTCCTTTGTCAAGGTTACCCTTTAGATGCCTCTCCGCTGAAAGCTTGACTAAAACCATTCAAGAGCTACCCAGCTTTTCTGGAAATGCAACCGCCTTGGCCAACTTAGCAAAAAAAGAACAGCCCTGATACATCTGAGACTGGCTGATCCTTTTCCCAGTCTGCTGGGTCAAAGATTTTAATAAGTATCAGTGCCTCTGTTAAGTCTACCTTTTGTGAAAGAAGGGATGGCAGATATCCTTCCCACATTTCAAGAATACAAAGAGCTGGACAAGCAGTTGCCAAATTCGCATTTCTGAGGCTCCCCAGGTGAGCTTGAATTAAACTGCAGATCTCCAGACTTGACTCCTCCACTTGGTTTGACAGGAGATTCCCAGACTCCTCTCAGCTAGATCAGAACCTTTATTGCAGACAAGAATGAAATCACTGATTCCCACCATCGTGCAAAGCTGTCAGGAAGTCTGTAGGTTCCCAGAGTAGAAGATGAGGCTACACATCATGCTGGCAGCTTGTAGGGCAATGAAGGCTCTGCTCCACTTGCCTTCTTGGCTTCATCCTCAGCTAGGGATGACCAGCAGAGGGCAGGGGAAACTTCACATTCAGTCCTTGGAAGAAACAATGCATTGTGGGTCTTGGTCAAAAATCTTAGCAAACCATGTTTCTAGATACCTTGTTGAATGAATAGTTGAGCTATCTTAATGGGGCAGGGACTGAGCTATACCTTACAGTTAATTCTTTACTGCTTTTATAAGCCACCCTGATCCACTTTTTTGAAGTTAATAATACAGGCTTGGAATGACTACCCTCTTTTCTTAAACAGATAGAATCGAGTTAGAAGGATATTAGAGGCCATCTAGACTTGCTTGGTGCAAGATCCATCTGAGCATGAGCCTCCAGCCTGTCTGATTACCTGTCTTCATGGGCAGCCTCTGCAACTGCTGATGGTTTGTGAGGTCAGGAAGTTCCTCCTTCCTCACAGTTTTGACCTCTGGAACTTGGACCTGCCCATCTGGAGCAAGAGAGTAAATCCCCTCTCTATTTATGCTGACAAGCCCAGAGAGAGCCTCCCTTATTCCATCCCTTCTCCTGGCCCCTTCCCTCCCTGCCCTCAGCAAACTTGCTCCCCTTTCTTTCAGAGCCCGGAACAGGACAAAAACTCAAACAGGGCTGACCTTTATCTCCCCCCCCCTGAACTTTTTCTGTTAATGCACCCCAACATAGAAATGTTTCTTCTGGCAGATACTAGCCATAATTCGACCCATATCTGCAGCATGTGGGAATTGCCTGCCTTGAGTTCTGGTCTTGAAGAGCCCCGTTTAAGCCCCTCTGGAAGGCCACCGGTGCTGTGCTGGACTCTACAGCTGTGGTCACGAGGAGCGGGTCAGAGTTGGCTGACCTGCAACCAGACTTACTGGCTGCCCCTCTCCGGCCTTTATCATAAAGGCCTTTGCACTATTCTTCCTTAGGCAGAACTTGCAGCCCTCAGACTGGGAAAGGGGCAGGCCGGATAAGAATGGCAAGCTGTGTCACCCAGCAGAGGAGCAAGCAGGGCATTCAGCCAGTCAGCATTGGCCAAAACACAAATAGCTGATGATCAGGTGGGTTTCAGCATCATTGTGCACAGTGGTCCCTGGCTTGGGGCCTTCCCAATTTTCCCTAGTGGCAAGACTAAAAATAGCTGGAGGGAGTTTCTCTCTGTTCCAGGGGAGAAGCAAAATCTCCCCCCCCCCCCAGTACCACTGTCCTGATCAGCGATTGGTGCCTCAGAAGCGGCAATGCCATGGTGTGCCCCAGTTGCCGACTCCCCTGCCTGTATTTCCACAAGTGGGGTCAACATTGAGTGTCCATCTGTCCCCAACCAGCTTGATGTCCTGATGGAAACTTCCGGTCATGTCAACCGCTGGCAGAAGGAAACACCTCCACCCGGCGTGGCTGGGGGGGCTGCTGGCCTGCCTCTCCTGGGCCACGGGTTTTGGGCATGGGCGGGGGGGGGGCAGAAGCCCAGAGCTTCTCCCACCTGGGACAGACCCCGGCAACCACCCGGCCTGGTGCAGCTGAGTCCAGATCCATCCGCGAGGAGGCAAGAGGCGAGACCGACGGCCCCGGGTGAAGGGCGCCCGCGCAAAGGGGACCCGGGGCGGGCGGGGAACAAAGACGCACGTGGCCGCCGAGCAGGGACGCCCCGCCCCAGGGAGGGCCCGGCGCAGGGGGGGGGGCAGGGGCGGCTCCAGGGTTGCTGCGCTCGCGGCGGCGCTCTGCTCGCCTTCCCTTTCCTCCGCCGCCGCCCGCCGCGATGGCACGCTACCTCCGCTCTGGGGCCGCCGCCGCCGTCGCCGCCGCCGTCTGGCCTCGCTGCCCGGCCGCGGCGCTTCCCGCGCTCAGCGCTTGGCCTCGCCCGTCCCACCGGCACTGTGAGTGGGGCACGGGTCGGGTCGGAGCGCCGCGGCGCCTTCCGCTTCCCGGCCCCGGAGAGGCAGTCCCGCCGTGCGCCCCCCCGCCGACTCGCCCGCCCGGGGGGGGGACCGCCTGCCTCCGCCGGTGACCTAGGGGTCCCGACCATCGACCGCCGGCCTGTCTCCGCCGACCGTCCAGCCTGCTCGGGGCGGCCTCGTCCAGCCGCAGGGCCGCCGGGCAGCGCTGGCAGAAGGGACGGTGGCGGCGGGGGCATCGGCAGCCCGCCTGGCCGGGAGAGCACCGGCTGAGCGCGCCGGTTCCGCGTCTCCTGGAGCTCGGCCAAATCGAGGATGCGACGTGCCTGTCGGTAGCCCGCCCGCAAACCGGCGTTGCTCCGCTGAGGTCTCGGCCGGCAAGGGCTGCGGGCCCGGCCCTCTTCGCTGGCCGGAGCGGTCGGGCTGGGGAAGGCCTCTGGCGCCGCGACCGAGCCCGTGCCGCCGCCCCCCCCCCTTCTACGGCCCTGGCAGCCGGCCCGGCCCGGCACCTGTCGGAGGACGCGGGGCCAGCTGGCGCTGGGCGGGCTGCAGAGGGGCGGCCGGGCCTCCCGCCCCCGGCGTCCTTTGAGCGTGACCTTGTCCCTTTGGCGGGCAGAGGCCGCCCCTCTTTGGGGCGGGGCGGCCCTTCAGCGGCAGCGCGATGTGGCAGGAGGGTGGCAGCAGCCCTGGAGACCCTCCGGGGAGCAAGTGGGCCCCGCAAAGGACGGGGAGGTGGCCCAGGACCCGGAAAGCGCTAGATCCTCTTCCCGGGCGGGCCGCTAGATGCGCCCGGACGGTCAAAAGCCCCCACCGGAAAGTTTGGTCCACCTCCGCGGGTGGGGTGGGCAGGGGGCAGTATGTCAGAAGCAGCCGCTGGTTCGAGAGAGGAGCCTGGTCCTCTTGGGGGCGTAAACCTGCCCTTCTAGTCACTTTTAACAAATGGGACGCTTCCAAAATGGGCCTTTTGGGCATTGCTGCCCCCCTGAAGGGGCCTGGGGTTGTCTGGGGCGGATACTTGGGGCGCAGGGAGGGTCAGGGCCTTGCCACCTCTGATCCCCTCTTCTCTGCAGATGCTGACCAGAGAATCAAGGTTGCCAACCCTGTGGTGGAAATGGACGGGGATGAGATGACCCGGATCATCTGGGCCTTCATCAAGGAGAAGGTACCTGGCACTGAGACTGTGACGGTGGCCGTGAGCTCGGGGTGAGCGGTGGGAGTGCTTGGACAGAGTAGAAAGCGAAGGAGAAGCAGGGAGAGCCGGATTTGAAGCTTTGAGATGGGGAATCCTGAGGCATCCTGTTGCTTCCCGCATGCATCTTAGGCAGCCCAGGCGATGCCACAAACCCTTTTTTCGCATCCAAGGCAGAGGCTCACAGAGGAGGGCAGTGTCAGGTTCCCCTACGTTCCCCTGCAGAATAGTGTGCCCCGAGGGCTTGAAAGTGATCTCTGCCCATAAAATGTGCAGAGGAGGAAGCACACGCACCCTGCCTCTCTTGGCAACTGCCCAGGTGAGCGACTGCCCAGGTGAGGCGGCCAAACGCGTGTCTGGTCCTGACGGCTTCTTGTCTGCCACCTGCAGCTGATCTTGCCCAACGTGGACGTGCAGCTGAAGTACTTTGACCTGGGACTGCCCCACCGGGACCAGACGGAGGACCAAGTCACCATCGACTCAGCCCTGGCCACCCAGAAGTACAGTGTGGCTGTAAAGTGTGCCACCATCACCCCCGATGAGGGCCGTGTGGAAGGTATGTGCGACCAGGCGAGGCAGGAGCTCCACCCAGGGGCATCTGTCTGAGGTGTCGGAGGGGTTGGGCAAGTCACCCTGGCCCTAATCCCAGATGCGTCTCCCTTGTGACCCCTGCAGAATTCAAGCTGAAGAAGATGTGGAAGAGCCCCAACGGTACCATCCGGAACATCCTGGGCGGGACGGTTTTCCGAGAGCCCATCGTCTGCAAGAACATCCCTCGCCTGGTCCCAGGCTGGACGAAGCCCATCACCATTGGGAGACACGCTCACGGTGACCAGGTGGGCTTGCGAGGGGGGAGGGGTGCCCTGCTGCCAGGCCACCCAAAGCCGTTCTCTTGCTGCTGGGTGTCCTGGTGCAGCTCCCAGGACCCATTTGGAACCATGGGAGGAAAGGCCTGTCGGGATGTCTGTGGGCTCTGGGAGTTTTTCTACTTGCAAAGCCACCTAAGGAAGTTAAGAGAATTAGCAAAGTTGCTAACGATTTAAAAAGATGAAACTTCTGCACTTTATTCGGGGTTTAATAGTTGGAACATTTACAGGACCTGGAAGTCATTAAGTGAATGTGAATGGGATATAATCTGCTGATCCGATCCAAAAACATTTTCCGGAATGAATACCTGAATCCAGGCTCCAGTATATGATCCTCCCAGTCACAGCTTCCCAATGGGGCCACCTCCTCTGTGGGACGATAACCTTGAATTATAGCTCAGCAAACAGTTGGGACAAGGACAGAGACAGGAGAGAGAAGCCACAGACAGGACACGTCCTAGCAGGGTGGGGGATGGGCATTAGACCAAAGGTTATAAAGACGGGAAAAATCGAAGCTGAGGAATTTCCACAGCTGCTCTGAAGCCTGAACATGGGAGGAAAAGGCCAGTTTTCTAGCCAGGCCATTCTCGGGCTCTCCTCAGCAGCGCTTGATCCGCCCGGATTTTTCCTTTTGCAAAGCATTCCTTATTTGTCTGGCCTAAACATGCAGTTTTGAAACCTTTCTTCTTTTTAACTGGGTTTAACTGCTTACCCCAGATGGGTTTTGATCTTGGCTTCTTTAGGGCCTTTGCGTCTTGTAGGGGGGGCTGGCTGTCATAATCTCTCGGGCTCTGCTTTTCAGTACAAAGCCACAGACTTCGTGGTGGATAAATCAGGGACCTTCAAGATGGTTTTCGTGCCCAAAGATGGCAGTGGAGCCAAGGAGTGGGAAGTCTTCAACTTCCCAGGCGGGGGTGTCGGCCTGGGCATGTACAACACGGATGAGGTGAGGAGGAAGAGGGGCGGCTTGGCAGAGGGGGCAGGGCAGGACTGGCCTAGACGCAGCTTTCCCTGGGGAAACCCCCAGGCGGGGGGGGGTCTGGCCTGCTGAACCTTCCCTGGAGGGAGGGAGGGGAGCTCTGCAGCCCCGCCTCAGGCACATCCCACTGAGCACTCGGCCTGCCTTTTGCAGTCCATCTCGGGCTTTGCCCACAGCTGCTTCCAGTATGCCATCCAGAAGAAATGGCCGCTCTACATGAGTACCAAGAACACCATCCTCAAGGCCTACGATGGGCGGTTCAAGGATATCTTCCAGGAAGTCTTTGATAAGTGAGCTATTTAGCCCAATGGGGCCGTGGGGTGGAAGCAGCTCCCTTGGCTCTTTCAACAGGGGCCTCAAGAGCCTGCCTACCTGGTGCCCCTTTGCACTGGAAGTTATCCAGGGCCGGCCGTGCCGGCCCTGTCTGAGGAGGGTTCCTGTCCTCCTCCCTGTCAGGCACTACAAGACCGACTTTGACAAGCTCAAGATCTGGTACGAGCACAGGCTCATCGATGACATGGTGGCCCAGGTGCTGAAATCAGCGGGCGGCTTCGTCTGGGCTTGCAAGAACTACGACGGAGATGTCCAATCGGACATCCTGGCCCAAGGTATTTACTGGCCCTGCCCAGGGCACACAACCAGCAGATGGACTGGGGGCGAGAGAGCAGGACCAAGGTGCTGAGGACCCCATCCTGAGCCCTTAGCCTGTGGCAAGAGTGGTCCCCCCCTTCAGCTGGTGCAGCTAGGCTAGGGTGGCCCTTTCCAGGAGAAGCAGCTTGGGCTCAGGGGCCCCCTCTCCTAAGGACCACAAAGCTTTTTTCTGGGGAAAGAAGCGGAGGGGGGACCAGCTACGAACCTCCCAGCTTCCTGGGGGGAGGGGGCTTTTCTCTTCACACAGCATGCCCTTGCTGCGTTTACCACGGCACCAGCTGTGCCCTGGGTGCCTCTAGGGAGTTGCGCAAGGTTTCTGGATGTTGGTGAGCAAAGGGAGCAGTGCCTCCCTCCTTCCTGGTCAGATGGACCCTGTCTGACCAACATTTGGGTTTGCCCCAAGGGTTTGGCTCCCTGGGTCTTATGACCTCGGTTCTCGTCTGTCCGGATGGAAAAACCATCGAAGCAGAGGCTGCTCACGGCACGGTGACTCGCCACTTCCGGGAGCACCAGAAGGTGTGTTTGCCTGGAGGGTGGGGAAGTCCTGGGGGGCACTGATGTGAGTGGCCAGGCCGCCAAGTCCCCTGAGCCCACGCTCTTTGCTTGCACTTCTCCCTCAGGGCCGTCCCACTAGCACCAACCCCATTGCCAGCATCTTTGCCTGGACCAGAGGCCTGCAGCATCGAGGCAAGCTGGACAGCAACCCACAGCTGGTCAAGTAAGAGCAGCCCGCTGCCCTCTTGGGGAGCAGCAGTTGGGGGGAGGAGCCAGGGGGCTTTGTGCACTGGCATTGCCAGCTGTGGGAAGCCTCTCCCCAGACCGAGGGGGGCTCCGCTCTATCCCTCAGCCTTCCCCTCCCTCACCAGGTTTGCCGAGACTCTGGAGAGGGTCTGCGTGGAGACGGTGGAGAGCGGGACAATGACAAAAGATCTGGCTGGCTGCATCCATGGATTAAGCAAGTGAGCCCTGGCTCGGATTGGGACGCATTGGCCAGAAGCCCTGCACTCCCCAGAATGACCGTGTGCCTCTTCTCTCCCTGCAGTGTAAAGTTAAACGAGCACTTTGTGAACACCACTGACTTCCTGGACGCCATCAAGAGCAATCTGGATAGAGCCCTGAGCAAGCAGTAGGAGAGGAGGAGCTGCAGCAGCAGAGACCCTGCTGACAGGGACTGAGCGCGCACGGATGGCTGCTCCCGTTCAACAGGGGTCCTTTTTGGCATGCTTCTAAAGCTTGTGAGGCCATTGGGCCACTCTTGGGAAGGAGACCACCTTGCTCCCCTCCCTATTCTGTGACTGCAGATCTTGCCAGCAGAGAAGAAAATGGTTGAGTGCTGTAACTGCCGTGGGCACGGCCTTGGGTGCCAAAGAGAGCTATTAAATGATGGCTTCTCCCTTAGTGTGACAGTCAGTCCGCACAACACATCCACACTGCTCCGGCGGCACCACCCAGTCCGTCTGCCAAACAATATTCATTTATTGCTGAACTTCTTCAGAACTGGAAAATAAACACAGTAGCTCTACGCACAAAAGGGGCAATCCACTTTGTGGCAATGCCCCAGGAATAGAACATGGCCACAGACTGTGCAGGGCGCGCCGTGACCATTCTGCCAAGTAAGGGGAGGCGCTTTGTAGTCCACTGAATCGGGAGGCTTCCTGACCCAGGCTGCTCTTTCAGAGTGCAGGGCAGAGGTAGATTGCAACGTGGGTGGGAGGCAAGCGCTTGTGGTCCAGTCTGGTAGCAAACCGAGGGAGATCTGCTTAGCCTCTCTCCCCCCAGTCGCTTCGGCCACGACTTGGGCTGGGTCTTAAAGGTCGCCCTGGCCAAGTGTGGGAGGTAGAGTAAGGCAAGTGGAGTCCCACAAGGCTGGAACCCAGCTAGAGCCACACCTGGTCAAGAGGCGGCTGGGAGGGCCGCAGAGGCTGTAACGGAGCAAGGGCCGCAGGTCCAGCAGGCTCCTCCCAGGGCTCTCCTGTGCAGCCCACTTTAGGGGGGTGGTAACCCCCTCCATCCCCCCTTAACCAGGCCCTTCCCATTCCAACTATAACATGTTGTAGTAGGCTATCTCCTTCATGGTCTGTTCTGCCAAAGCAGACCCACCGCTGGGGTTCCCCACTGCCCCATAGTCGTAGGCGTTTTCCTCGTAATCGTCCATCTCCTGCTGCCCGTCCAGTTCTGAGGGATTGGTGCCTGCCAGGTCCAGCATGGGATCTGGGAAAAAATGCAAACATGCCAGGTTGCCTCGGGGGCACCTCAGGGAAAACAGCGTCTGGGGTTCCCCTCTCAGGTGCTCCCCCCCCCGCCCACCTTGGCTGTCCAGGTTGATATCCATCACGCCGTGCTTGACTTTCATGTGTCGACTGAGGTTCCCCTTCAGGTTGAACTTGCTGGAGCAGTAAGGACACTTGAAGGGCTTGCTGCCGGCGTGCAGATGCATGTGGCCCAGGAGGTTGTACATGCGGTTGAAGGACTTCCCACACACCTGCAGACAGAGAAGACGGGGCGGGGCTCAATGTGTGGGTGGCAGGCTGGCCAGCTCAGGTGTGCCTGGCCAAGTCCAGAGCTCCTCCCAGGGCCCCAAACGTAGCTCGGGGGGGGGGGAAGACACATGAAATATGGAGCTTTGGCCTCCTCCCGTCCCAGCCCTACCTTGCACTTGAATGGCTTGACGGGCGAATGCACAATCATGTGGGTCTTGAGCGTCTGCTTCTGCACGAAGGTCTTGAAGCAGATGTGGCACTGATAGGGGCGCACGCTGGTGTGGATCAACATATGCCGCTTCATGTTGGCCTGCAGCGTGAACTCTCTCCCACACACCTCGCACTTGAACTCCTTCACGCCCTGAAAGAGATGGAAGTGGCCACAGTGGCCTGGCTAGCCCTGGAAAGCTCTGTGGCTGACCTCAGCTGCTCCAGCCAGGACACCGGAGCAGGAGGAGGCTGCTGGACCCCCGCATGACCACAGTGGGCCCGGCCTACCTTATGGGTGAGCGAGTGCTGCTTGAGATGGTGGATCTGGCTGAACTCCATGCCGCACTCGGTGCAGACGAAGGGCCGCACGTTCTGGTGCTTGAGGGTGTGGTTCTGCAGCTGGCTGCGGTAGTGGAAGGACTTGTTGCACTCGGGACACGAGTACAGTGTGGGCCCCTGGTGCGTGGCCAGGTGGCGCTTGAGCTGGGTGAGGGTGGAGAAGTCCAGGCCGCATTCCACGCAGACGTGGCAGCGCCCGCTCTCGTGCTTCCCCTCGTGGGCCTTGAGCTCACTGGGGTAGGCAAAGCCACGGCCGCAAAAGCGGCAGCTGTAGGGCTTGACGTCTGAGTGCAGCAGCATGTGGCGCTTGAGGTGGCTGGTCTGGGTGAAGGCCTTGTGGCACACCTGGCACTTGTGGGGCCGGGTGCCCTGGTGGGTGAGCAGGTGGGTCTGCAGGTGGCTGGGCTGCTTGAAGAGCTTGCTGCAGTGTGGGCAGGAGTGGGGCTTGATGCCGTTGTGCCCCAGGATGTGGGTCACCAGGTTGTACTTGGAGGTATAGGACTTCTCGCACAGACGGCACTGCCAGCGCTTCTCCACCAGGTAGGAATCATCAATCTGGACATTGATGTCCAGGCGGTCCATGTGCACCTTCTTGCTGTGCTCACCGGGGACCTCCGCCTCAAAGTCCAGGGGCTCCTGCCAGGCGAAGCCTGCTCCACTCTTGCCTTGCTCTGGGGGAGAGGCTGGCAGCTGGTTCTCCATGCCACTCAGGGACGGCAGGCCGGGTGGGAAACTGCAGCCGCTGGGAAAGGCTTCTGCCCTGTTCAGGCCAGCTTGGGGTGAGCCGGGGAACCTTTCCTCGTAGGCTCCCAAGGAATGCTCTTGCTGCAGGGGCCTTCGCGGAGGCTGCACTGGCTGAGGCCGCCTGCTGAAGGGGCTGAGGCTTGCCATCCTGCCGGTGCCACTCTGCCTTGTTGGCTCAGGACAGGGCTCCTCTGGGTTGCTGCTCTCCACCTGCTCCTCGGGGCCTCCGGCAGGCGCTTCGGGACTGCCCTCCTCCTCCTCCTCCTCCTCCATCTCGCCCCTCTCGTGCTTCACGTTTGGCACCAGGCGCATAGGGGGGCGCTTCCTCCTCCGTGCCTGTTTCCCAAAGGGGGCTTCTGCCTCCAGGCCCTCCTCTTCCTCAAGGGGCTCCCCCTGGGATGGGCCAGCTGGGCTGCTGCTTTCGGGCTGCTTCAGTTCGGCTGCTGCTGCTGCTGCTGCTGCGTCATCCAGTTTTCCTGCCAAGCTGGAGAAAATGCTGTCTGGATTGACCGTGCCTCCCAAGAACTCATTCTCAGATACCAGACCCAAGACAGCGGCTTGGGCCAGCGACAGCACCACCACTGCCTCCGTCTGGGTCCCGGAGCTGGCAAACCGTTCCATGCCTTGCACCATCCAGCAGAGCTGCAACACCTGCAGGAAGGAGAGAGGAAGGGAAACTTAGCTTCTTCTAATCCAGGCTTTTGCCCAGAGACGCACCAGCCACACAGCACCAAGCTCAACACCGAGAGCCCCCGCTTCTCTGGGCACGTCCAAAGACCAGCCAGAAGCCCAGACATCGCCATCTATACCAGACAGAAGGCAGCTACAGTCATCCTTCTCTCACTCAGGAAATCACAACTGCTAAATAACGTACAGTTCTCACTTAACTGTTACATTGACTGTTTAAGTGACCATCTGAAGTTGCGACAACACTGAAAACGTAACTTTACAGCTGGTCCCTGCACTTACGACCAACACAGCATCCCATGGTCACATGATTGACATCTGGCAATAGGCTGCTGGCATGCAAAGACATCGAATTGGAAAAATCGCAAGTTGCGATCAAGTGATGTGTTGGTTAGCGACCACACTGCTTAGCAATGGAGTTGCCAGTTCCAATTGTGGCTATTAAGAGACATGCATCATAAGTCTACTTGCATCAATTCCAGGCCCACTGGAGCATTTGTTCATGTTCTGATCATTATGAGAATTAAACTCAAAACATGGAAACAGATGTGGTCCATGTTAAGAGCTGTGCGTCTTGGGAGCAAAATCTGCAGCATGAATGGTATAACCCCAAGCCAAGCCACCTCCTGCTTAACAGCTGACCCTACAGAGCCTAATCCCCCAGAGGACCCCACAACGCAGGGCCTGGGAGAGCAGGCCCAAGGGAGGGGCTAGCAAGGAGCCAGGTCTCCTTTTATTGTCTGCCACAAGGAGAGAGAACTGGGGAGGTGGGGGGGGGGTTGGGCAGAAAGAGGGGCTGGGCCAGGGCCAACTGCAGGGACTGGGTGACTGGAGGGGGGCTCACTTCCCCAGAGACGCAGGGGCAGGCTGGTTGTGAGCCCTGCATTCATGGGGGAGGAAAGAAGGAAAGAAGGGGTTTCTCTCCCCCCCTCCCCCGTGCTGCTCACTGTCATCCTGCAAGGGGGTCGGGGAGGCGCCTGGGCACTTGCGCCCCCCCGGGGGGGTCTAATTTAAAGAGCGCAGCAAAGAAACCACAGGCAGGGCCGAGGTGCGAGTTTGCAAGAAGGGCGGATGCAGGGAGGGAGGGAGGGAGAGAGAGAAGAAAGAGTGGGAGGAAAAGGAAAGAGGGAGCCGAGGGAGGAAGAGCCGCATAAATTAAGGGGAAGATGACGCTGGGAGACGAGCGAGCAGCACAAACTACAATCAACTAACCCTGGTTAGAGGGCTGCTCTCCGAAAGCAAGAACCGGGACTCGGCTCTGCGTCTGGGCCCAGCGCGGCGCCTTCCCCTCCGGGCCGCAGCCGGGCCGGAGGAAGCCACCTACCCGCCTATGCCGGGGTCCACCTGCCGAGGGACCCCCACCCACACCCGGGCGCAGCAGCACCGGAGAGCGCAGGGAAGCTCGGCGGCTCCGCGCGGCCTCCCCGCCTCCGTACCCGGCGCAAGAGACGCGGCCGCGGGGCCAGCCCGGCGGGAGGGCCGGCCGACGAGGGGCCTGCAGAGGCCTTCCGGGAGCCGCCGCCCTGCGCCGAAGGCCCGCGGCCTCCCTCAGACGAACGGGCCGGCGCCACCGCCCCGCAGACGCCGCCGCCGCGCGGCGAAGCCAGGCCGGAGCTTCCGCCTCAACTGCCCGGACCGGGCTAGCCGCAGGTGCGGAGCCCCGCCCCCTGAGGAGGGGGCGGAGACAGGGCGGCCCCTCCGCGGCGGCCCCGCCCCCGCCCGGCCAGCAGCGGAAAACCTCTCCGGGCCCTGCCGCCCCCCCCGCCCGCCCGGGCCCCGCCCTGCCCCGTCTCCCAAGCAACGCCCCCGCCCATCTCGCAGCTCTCCCCCTGCCCCGGGGAGAGTCGAGCGGCTCGCCTGGAAAAGACCGGAGGATTTTTCCAATAGCCCCCGGCCCAGCGTTCAATCAAAATCAGACAGAGCTGGAAGGGACCTGGAGGTCTTCTAGTCCAGCCCCCTGCTCAAGCAGGAGAGTCTAGACCGGGGTAGGCAACCTTGGCTCTTTTATGACTCGTGGACTTCAACTCCCAGAATTCCTGAGCCAGCTTAGCTTGCAAACTACACCCATATGATTTTCCACACTGACTTTTTACTTTTTACATATTGCGGACAGCAGCTTCTTTTAGGGCAATATCTATGGCCATTTGGATGACCAGAATGTAGCCTGAGTTTCTTTTTCCCCAGCAGGTCTCTAAAGCCTCCAGGCCTTTGACAACTTCATTTGGGCAAGACGTACAATTAGGTATCCTCAGCATACTGAGGATAATGGATTCCAATCCCTCCCCATCAATACAGCCTGGGATCAACCGGAGAGAAAGAAGTGAACCACGAGAATATGGTGCCCTTCACTCCCAATCTCCACAGCTGGCATGGAAGGATACACGATTGATGGACTTAAAAGCTGCTGAGGGGCAAGGAGCAATGGCTGCCACCAAAGAGCTATCCCTCTCTCAAAGAAGCCGGCAACATTTCCTGAATGCAACCACCAGATATCTCCCAGGCATCTTTAACAACCTGCACCTAATAAGGTGGCGGCCATGCTCACAGGCTGAATGACCTTGTCCATTTCATTATGTGTCAGAAACCAGTAAAACCTGCTCCAATAGCCCCACAAGTCCACACTTCAGCCACTCAATTGGAGCCCAGCTCTCAACAGATCAGAGCAACATCATCTGCCGGACATCCGGAATGTTCTGCACAGTGTCGCTTCCTTCAGCTTATCCTTATTGAGTCACCCTAAAGCCAACTCCAGGAGAGCCCGTGTTCCCACCTGGGTCTTTGTGCCCCCTAGCAGAGACCCTGCATTTGTCTAGGACGGGTAGGCAACCTTGGCTCTTTTATGACTCGTGGACTTCAACTCCCAGAATTCCTGAGCCAGCATGGCTCAGTTTGGAAACTTCTCCCTTTCCTCTCAGCATGGCTGGCTCAGGAATTCTGGGAGTTGAAGTCCACCAGTCATAAAGAGCCAAGGTTGCCTACCCCAGTCTAGGACACTGCACTATTTTCTCCTTGGTAGTTCCATTATACCATTCACCAGAAATGGACCTCTATCACCAACCGCGGTATTCCACTTTCCTTCCCTGCGGTGCCCATCCTGACTTTCCCATAGTGCTTTTTAGTAAACTAGAGAAGGTTTAGCGAACTTGTCAAACAACCTCACTCACATCAGTGCCCTGTGCAGCCTGCCCTGCTAGCCATCAGGTCATATTCTGGTCAGTAGGTCATGAGCACAATCCATCTTTTGCTTCAAGTACACTGCGCAGGCCCAGCAACTCTACTCTGAAGACTACCTGAAGTCAGGAAACGATGGCACTGAATGAATGGTGCACTGGCAGACTGCTGTTGGTTTCCAGAGCAGAGCCCCCTCCCCCCCCATGCCACAGATGCAGCAGAGACCAGCCAGAGAAAGAGGCGGAAGGCCACTTGCAGGCTGAGGGACACCATGCTCCAGATAAGCTGGCGGGAGATGGCTGGTGGTTGCAGCACCAGGACACGCACCAGACGGGCAGCTGGATTTTATTTTTTTTAATATGGGGACACTTGTGCTGTTTGTGCACAGACAATCACAGTTCCAAGAGAAGAAGAGCTTTACTGTCTTATGAAGACCCAGTATAAAATAACTTTTGCTAAAATAACTAGAGAGAGTCTTTCACGTTCCTTTTTTGCTGAAATTATTTCTCTTCCTACATGTTCCATGTGCTCTCTGAAAATAGAAACTCTATTTAAAAAGAAGCAGTGCACGCATACACGCTCTCTCTCTCTCTCACACACACACACACACTAGAGGAACTGAATAGAGGAAGGATGAAGGGGGAAAGGAGCCTCAAAGGGGTGGGGGGTGGGGGAGAAAAACAGAGTGAAAAGGGATGGAAAAAGGAGGGGGGGATGGAGAGCTCTGAAAAGAAAGGCTGAATGGAGCTACAGGAAGGGGAAAGAGGAGAGCGCTTGAAAAGAAAGGACCCCGGATTCACAGGCTGTGCCAACCCCCCCCCTCCTTGTGTAAAGATGTAAAATCCTTTCGGCTTTTCACATTCTCTCTCTTTGTGAGGGGGAGAAGAAAGTTAATTCACAGAAAATGAACAGAAAATGAAGGTGGCCAAATGAAAAGAGGAAGAATCTATCCCTAAGAAATCTCACTCGCTCACACACTTAGTTAAAAATCAAAATTGTGTGTCTGTTGTGTGTGTGTGTGTGTGTGTGTGTGTGTGTGAACATCTGCCCCAACAAACAAAGCCTCTCTCAGCCAGAGAGAAGGGCTTTCTCTCCCAGATGGGCGGCATCCAACAACTGGAGGCCTGCCACATCCCCCTCCGTGGCCTCAGGAGCTGCCCCTGGGCCTGGGCAGGAGGGCAACACGCTCCTGGCCCTTCCTGTCCTCACTTGCCATCTGGTTTTCGCTTAATGGCAGGGAGATCTGCCAGCTGGCTAGTTGGGGCTCTCCCATTTCTTCTTCACTGCAAAGGATTGTCTGGGGGGGGGGAAGCAGGGCCAGGCTGCAGCCGAGGGGAGGTGGGCTGAAGCCCACGGTGTGTGACCCGACAAGAAAGAGGTGGTCCTGTTGGGCTGGGGTGGGCAGCTGGAGGGATCCATCCCATCAGCACTCCCAGGGTCGCTCCAGAATTCCCCCATAAGAGCTATCTATTAAAGCAAACAAAATTCTAAATAAGACCAATATATATAACTTAACTGAAAATGAAATAATTGGTTGTTCTACGATGTGCCTTTCTCAACTCTCTGGGTAATAAGCTATCTTATTTTAATTTTGTGTCCAGTAGTCCTCAGAAGGGCAGTTGCTGGGTGGGAAATGGGGTCCTCATCACTACTTCTGGGCATCTTCTGCCGAGGGTCATCTGCCTCGTTTCCAGAGACCGGCAGTACCTCTGCTTGCCAAGCCCTGCAGGAAGACCATCCTGCGGTGCCCAGGCAGAGAGCAGAGCAGAGCAGACGCCCCTGAGGAGAGGAGAGGAGGAGCTCCAGAGCCCCCTGAACAATCCCCTGAACGCTTAATGGCAGGTCGGCTCCCTCTGCAAACTGGGCTGAATGCATCCGGATCGCCCGAATGACCAGAAGTGCTACCTGTAGGAAGGGAACAATGGATGCAGCTTTTCTGATAGGCTCACAATAAGGGGAAATCAGTGCACCAGCTCCTCAGTGACCACAGAAAATGCAAAGAGATAAAATGCAAAGGGAGAGAGATTTAACACTTGCTTTGCTTCAGTATACGCCAACACGAAAGTATGCAGCCCAACAGGACAAAGAAGAGGAAAAAAGCTTGAGCTGGTGGAAATCTGGGCAGGCAACAACAGCTTCCTTTGAATGAGTTTAAATCCCCAAGGCTACATGTGTTACATGGGGAGGTACTAAGGCAGGGGTCTTCAAACTTGGCCCTTTGATGACTTGTGGACTTCAACTCCCAGAATTCCTCAGCCAGTGTGCCTGGCTGAGGAATTCTGGGAGTTGACATCCACAAATCATAAAAGGGCCAAGTCTGAAGACTCCTGTACTAAGGGATGACAGAAGACTTGAACACTGGGTTCTTCCAACAAAAGGCAATCCAGGGGTGAGAAAAGCAAGGTTTTACACTTAGGCAAGAACACTCAAATGCACAGGTAGAGAATAGGTGGCATCTGGCTCAATAGCAATAAATGTAAGAGGGATTTAGGAGTCCTACTGGACCACCACTTAAGTAGTATGCTGTAGCTTCCAAAAAAGCCAAGGCAATCCTAGGCTGCATTAACAGAGGGAAAGAATCAAGTTCATGTGAAGTGACTTGTGGACTTTAACTAACCTAGGAAGAGCCCCTAAACAGCAGAACTGATTTTTTTTGGGGGGGGGGGGGCTTCCTTCCCTAGATGCGTTCAGGTGGGTCCAGCCAGCCTTTGGACGGCCACTTGGATTTTGGTCCTGAGCAAATGGCTAAAGCCTAAACAGCTGTTGCCCTTCTACAGTACTTGCCAGACAAAATGTTAAAATGGTTCATTTGAATCTGAAGGGAATTGGGGGGGGGGGTGGCATGGGGGAGGGGCAAATGCAGCATCTTTCTTCCTCCTTCCTGATGTCCTCAGGGCATCAGCTGAAATCCTGGAAGAGGCGCTTCAGAAAGCCTCTTTTGGAGAGCTGGGCCAAGCAGAGGAAAGGTCTCTTAGCCCAGATTTTGTGGAGGGGGGGAGGGCTGAGAGGGTGCACTGAGGGTTAGGGACACAAACAGCCAGGAGAGAGGCAGGCAGCGGCAGTGGCCAGGGGGATGAAGAAGAGGGAGAGGTCACCCGGTTGCTTTGAAGGCCTCTACTGTTTTTAGTCTGAGAAATAAAAATCCATGTAAATAAATGCAAATGCAGGATGGTGAAACCTGGCAAAGTTGAAAGACAGCCTTTGTTCAGAAGGACTCATCCAACAGAAGACAATCTAATGTTTCCAGCTGCACAGTAGAAAAGCAGAAGTTAGAAATAAAAGTGAAGTAGTTTTATATTAGACTTCCCAGCCCGACGGAACAAATTAAAAAAAAAAATCCCCCAACTCTCCTGTGGGTCTAACTAAAATGGCAATTCAAAAATGTCTGGATATTCCTTGTTGATAATTCTATATCTCCGACAACAAAATAAGCAACAATAACGGAACTGTTACTTATACTCATGCTTTACCATATAAATCCTGCCAAGGAAGCTTACATCAGCACTGATGCTGGTTAGTTTGATAATGTCTGCAAGGAAACAACCAAGTTCAGAGAGCACCAAGGACCCCTCCGAAGCTTACATCAGCAGCTGGACATCGGACACTGGGAAGGCCCAATTGAGCCCCTACCTCTGGGCTCAGTCAGAATATTTGCCACCTCCCTTCTGTGCAACAAGCCCAAATCTTTCCTAGCCAGATCCTTCTCCTCTTCCTCCCAGAGCTTGGCTCCCGGGCCTTTCCCCTCCCAGAAAGCCTCCTCTGAACCTGTCCCGGTTTCCCCCTCCCCCTTTGAACTGCAGTGCCCAGAATTCCAGAGAACTTCAAAAGGGGTCTGACCAGGGACAATAACTGGGGGGAATATGGAGTTTAGGTTTTTCATATTTTCCTCACGGTCGACAAGGACAGCCAGATTCTTCTGACATGTTCTGCCGCCAAGCCAGGTCTCCCCTCTGCTCGGATCACTTCGAATCTTCTTTCTCCTTTCTGCTTTTGAAAGGGGACAGTAATGCTGTTAGCAACACTGTCTCTTCACCCATGTTCAGGAACAAGTCTATCTCCCTTCCACAAGAGGATCCTTCAGCTACCTGAGATACCCAGCATCTCCAAGTGCCTCAGGTAAGGCTTCTTTCCAGCCTCCTTATCCATCTTGGATGCAGCCTTCAGACATGCTTGTTTCTCAGTTTTCATAAAACTCCTGTTGAGGATGGAATCAACGTTTTCTCCTATTCTCTGGCACTGTGCCCACCCACCATGATTCCCCAAAGGCCCCAGCAGGGGTCTGCAGACTCCTTCTGGGCCCTCAGGTGGAAGTGGCTGGTCCTGGAGCCTTGACCTCACTGGCAGGAGCCAGATGATCCTAGCTATCTCTTTATTCTTTTGTCCCTTGTTCTCCTTCAGCCCATTTGAACAAGTTTCCCTTTGGAGGCAAAAACAGAAAAAAGGAGCTCTTCCCTTCCTGTCATCTGTTATTATCCTATTAGTGTATTTCTCTCACCAGCAGACCTACCTTCCCTTTTACTACCAATACTGTGGTTTCCTTTGCCGGCCTCAATTTAATTGTTGCTTTCTTTCTGCAGTTACTGCTGTCTACGTCTGTGATGATTACATTCACCTTCCAGCTCTCTTAGCTCCATTGACAGCTGCATTTACAAGCATTTCCTAAGCTCTGTGTATTTTTCTCTCAGGTTAGTTGATTTACTTCCCGTGCCAAGTTTCTGAAGCATTTCCGGCCCACCTACACCGTCTCTGGCATAAGGAGCCCAGCTGGTGGGGGCAGCTCTCTCAACTTGGTCAAAGCGTGTCTGTGTGCTCCAGTTTCTCTATGGGTAAAAACACCCCAGATGACATATTTGTTTCCTCCCCAAAGTTCCCACTGCTTTCAGTTCATCTGACTTTTTCCCACTGGTTAGGATCAGAAGTCACCAGCTAATCTCGTCTCACCTCCAACTTTCTGGAAAACGAAGCACTCGGCAAGATCACTGAGGAATTTGGAGATCTCTCAGTTTTGCCTGAGTAGTTTTTCTGGCCTATGTCTAAGTAGTTGAAGTTTTTTGTTAGGACCTAACTCTCCTCCTGAGCGTTCAGTAATCTGGCCCAGAAGGGTATCTTCTGCCTGGCCTGATGGTATATATAAATCATAGATTTGTTCTTTCCATCTCCTTGTGTTGGTAATCATTGCCAGCTGGAGGTTCAAGGCTCATCCTGCATCTCAGTGCTCTGCATCATCCTTCACACAGGATGCTCCTCCTCCTCCTCCCCCTCCCCTCCCCTTTGCTTGGGATATTCCTTTCAATAAATGCTCCCCTTCAGTCCTTGCATCCCAGTTACAGGTTTACCCACCAGGTCTCCCCACTAAATTGCATTCCCGTTCCTGCATTAAGACCAGTTCTGCACTATATATGGGGACCTGGAATTCTTGGGTCATACACCTAGGCAATTCCTCCTCCTACTGATGTTCATTATGGGATGCCCCCATATTCTGCATAATTCCTCTCTAAACAAGGAGAGGACTTGAGATCGACCCAAAGCACTCCCCACAGTTGCTTCTCACGAGGAGGCTGCAAGGCTGTAATTTCCGGTGAGTCTGGAGCTCCGGGAGGTAAGCCGTCTTGCTCAAACTACAGTAGATGCTCAGAAAGGACACCAAGTTCATATATTCCCTTTTGTAATCACTTTCAAAAATTGCTTGTTAAATAATTTCCAGCCATTAGAAACCTTTGAATCAACAAGTTTGACAGCATCATGTAAGTTTCCTTCAGTCCCTAGCAAAAGAAGTTTTAAATACAAATTTAAGAACTTTAAAAAAAAGCTCCCAGTAGTCTGGGAAACACCGGCCATCATCCCCCATGGAGACATGAGTGGGAAGGCTCCTCTGACTTCTCCGCGTGAAGGAGATGGGGACAGAGTTAAGAAAAGCAAAAGAAACAAACAGTCCATCTGTTGAAGGTGCAGAAATAACCTTCAGGTTAGCACCTATGCTCTCCTTCTCCCTCCCTCCCTCTCTCTCTCTCACACACACAAACACACACTCAGAGGCAACACCAGGGAGACTGAAACAGGAACAATAATATGGGAAGTGAACAGAGGCATTCTTCCTTTTCAGAATCCACCCACCATTTCTTCCTTCTTGATTTTGCCTGGAATGGCCACCACAAGCAAACAGCTCCTTCTCAGGTTTTAAGCCGAGTTTATATACCTTTTTATAACAATGGGGATACGGAGCAGTTGGCCAAGTCATTAAAATACAGCCCTCTCAAGAGATAATGGTTATAAGCACGTGGGTGCTCAAGGATGCGAACAGAAGCCAAAGCTGTGGATTAAGAGGTGTCTTTTCAATAGAACATTGAAGGAGGCTGATGTACCCCAAGTTCCTCAGCAACTGCCCAAAGTTCCCCCCAAAGTCCTCTCAGGTATCTGTTCCCCGGCATCCCTACCAGGGGTGCAACAGCTCCACTGAAGGTCTCAGAGGCCAGGGCAAAAAGCAGGCTCTAAGCAATTATTCCACCTTTGGAGAGATAAAAAGTCTTCCAGGGGTTTCATACCGAGAAGCAAGTGGACTATTAAACCTGTGGCAATTATTTTATTAAACTTGTTTGCTGTCCATCTCGTCCTGAGGCACTTCTGGGCAGCTTATATGACCATTATTTACCCTAAGGCCATCTGGAAGTTTTCCATCTCTAACCAGGGAAGCCCCACCAGAGGTCCGGCCCTGCTTGGGGGATGCCGCCATCGCCCTCCTCCTCCTCCTCTCCGCCAAGCACTGACCAACGGGCCTGCTCTCCCCCGCCGCCCACAATGGGCCCCCTCTTTGCCCTCCCCAAAGCCCCCCCTCCGCCGGCGCATCCCACCTGACTCCTACCCGGCCGCGGCCACCCTCCCCCCCCCCGCCTCAATCCAGGACCCGCAGAACTCCCAAAAGCTCGACCCTCCGCGCCACCCACGCCCTTCTCCCGCCCGCGAGGAAGCCCCAGGGAAGCAGGCGCTCCTTCCACGCCCGCTTCGGCCTCCGATCTCCGCCAAGGGCAGCCAGGGAGGAGGCGGCGGCGAGCCCCTCCTCGCCCCCACCCCACCCAGCCCGCTCCGTCCGGGGGGAGGCGGCGACGGAGCAGCGCCGCTTGAGCGGAGGGCAGAGCTGGCCGCCACCGCCGCCGTCTCGGCAGCGCGCGGACAATCGAGGCCGCCCGTCCACAAGCGGATCCCCGGCCGCAGCTCGTCGGGAGCCGGGCGGAGGGGGGTCACGGCGCGGCCTCTCGTCTTCCGGGCAGCCTCGGCGGCGCTGCCTCTTCCAGGGCCGGGCGGAGGGTCCTGGCGAGGGCGGCCCTCCTCCCTCCCTCCGCCCGGCTACAGCGCGGCGGCTCGCAGAGCCCGCGAGAGGGCGGCCCGCCACGCCCGGGAGCTGCGAGGGAGCGCGGCGCCACCCGGTCTTCCGGAGCGGCTCTCCGGGCGGGAGGGCGGCGGGCCCGGCCGGCGAGCAGCGACGACGCGGGCGGGTCGATCAGCTGTTCAAGGGGAGGTTCAGCGCGCCGAGCCGGAAGGGAGGCGGGCAGGAAGGGCCGCGGCTCGGAGCCGCAACAGGTAACCCGCCGCCGCCTGGGTGCCCACCGGGAGGGAGCGCCCGGGCGCCCACTTCCCGCGGCGGAGGGACGCGGCCCCGAGAGCCGGGCGGGCCGGCGGGCGCCCCACGTGCTCAGCGGCCGAGCCCAGCCGAGCCCCGCGCCCGCCCGTCCCCTCCCTCCCGCGGTGCCCTTGCTCCTTCGCCGCAGCCGGGGCCGAGAGGGCGAGGGCGGCCTCTGCGGCCTGGCCGGTCGTCACGCGCGGCGCGGCCTTCTGTGCCCGGGCCCGGCGCCTCCTCCAGCCGGGGCCCCGGCGAACTCACCCTGGGAATCCCGCAGAGGCTCGGCCGCGGGACGCGCAGCCCACTCGGCGCGGGGAGGCCCGGGCGCCTGGCCTCCGAGGCGGCTGCCGCAGCGCTGGGCTCGGGCGGCGGCGCTGCTGCTGCTGGCGCGTTCTCAGTTCCCTTTCCCTTTTCTCTCTCTCTCCCTCGCAGGAAGGAAGAAGGGAATGAGGCAGGGCTGACGTGAAGGGATGCAAAACAGCCCCTCCTAACCCGGCGCGGAGAGAGGGAGAAAGAGAAAGGCGCAGAGAGGAGGGAGAGCCGCCGCCGCCCTTTTATCTCGCTTTTGTTGTCGCACTTCCTCTCGCTCCGGCCGCGCCAAGTTTTCTTTCTCCTGCCGCCCGGCTTCTCTCGCCCCTTTCGCCCCCGCGGGGGACCCGAGAGCCCCCTGGCTCTCCCCGGGCCAGATGGAGCTCCGAGGGAGCCAAGCCTGGCCGCCTCCCGGTGAAGCAGGTGAGGAGGGACCCGGAGCTGGCCTGGCCCGGGAGACTCCTTATCCCGGGCTCAGCCCGCCCGCCTCCACTTGGACGAGCCAAGGCTGCTGCCGGGCGCCCGGGAGGGGCCCGACCCGCCGCCCTCTTTCCTGCAGCCTCCGAGGCCGCTGGCTGGGCACATGGAAGCCCTGAAATAAGCGGCTGGGGTTAAAAAGGCCAAAGGTGGGCAGCCCCTAGGCAGCCCCTTTTCTTCTGGGCACAGGGTGGACCCATTTGTACCAGTGGGTGGGGTGTTGTGATTTGACAGGGACGACGAGGAAGACGTCAGGCTGTCCCTGCTTGTCCTGCAGGCCTTGGGTCGACACATCATGCTATGCCTGCTTAGTGCTTTTTGTGGCCTGTGTGCGGGTATGCTACATGCACCCAGCCATCATGGTTTATGGCACAATCCGACCCGTCACTTGTGGTTTGTTCATTAAATCCACGTGCGTAGCAAAGAAGACCCTCTGCCCTTGCAAAAAATGGCTTTCATCTCTCAGAGTTCTTCCCCACGTCAGTTCCAATTCATCCCCATTCTGAAACACAAAAATGTAGCCCCAAAGATTTAAAGCAGGAAGGGACTCCGGTTCCTCATTAACAGCCCCCAGAGACCTCCTCACCCACCAGGACGCACCATCCTCTGCCTGGAATCTGCCACCCTCCGCACCCCGTGCACTGCCGCTAGTCAGGTCTTCTCAAGGAGCCTCATTGTCCAGCACACCCTTGCGACAGTCAGAAGGAGCAGCTCTTCTTTCCACACAAGCCACGTTTCAAAATGCCCACTCTGGGAAAATCAGAACCCCATCATTCTGCCAAATCAGCCTTCCGGGTTTACTGGCTGATTTGTGAAACTGGCAATCATAGTCCAGAAGGTCTGCGGGCCTAGAAATTTTCTCCCTTTTGCAGGAGAAAAATGAGCTGTCATGAATGTGGCACAGAGAAAAGCCACAGCTGCAGCCCCACAAGCCCATGATGCCACCCTGAACCTTTTGTAGATTTTCAGGCTCCCAACTTCGATGAGGCATGCGGAGCCCCCAATAGCCAGCATTATCGGATGAGTGTTCCCTTGTTTCCGGAATATTGGCTCAGCCAGTGCCAAGCAGTCACGGTCACATCCATCTTAGGCTGTCACTGGGTGCATCAGCAGTTGAGAGCAAGGCAGATGCCCTTAGGAACCCCTGAGAGGAGTCCAGGAGCACCACCACCTGCCTTTCAGAAGGCTTCCGCTTTGCACTCAAGCGTGCAAGAGCCCTGAGGTCATCCAGTCCAGCCTTCTCTGGGCACCAGAAGGCTCCCGATGGCAGGCAGGAGCCACCTTGCTCATTCTCACCCCACAGCTTCTGCTTCAGGAGGGGCAACAGCTCTGTGGCCACAGATGGGCCATACGCTGTGAAACCGGCATGTTCCCTTTCAGAGTCACCCACGTTGACTGCTGCTGTCAGAACTGTGGTACTCTGTAAAATAACGTTTCCTGTGATTGATCTCCAGTCCCTTGCTCAATTTCAGCCAGTGCCTGGGTGGTGTGGGAGAAAAGCCCACTTGATGCGGCTTGGCAATTTAATAGGCCTCTGGTGCTGCTGTCCAAGCTAATAGCCCCAATTCCTACAATCTTTGCTTCGTTCTTTCAGTGCCCTTTTTAAAGTATTTCCTAAGTGCATCACATCCTCTTTAATTCTCCTTATTTCCTTCTAGGACATAAACATCTTAGGAGCTGTCAAAATGCTGACCGAAGAGCCTTCTGTTGCCCCGTAAATCACCCCCCCTCCTTCGCTAATGGCCTCTTCCCTGACAGGCCTGTCCTCTTCCGCTGAGCTGCTTCCGAGGGAGGGAGGGAGGGAGGGAGCCCCTGCCGGCATTTCCTGCTTGCAGTCGTGCCTGGCCAGGAGCAGGATGTGAGCTGGCTGGTAGCTCAGCCGACAGGCTTCTGGAGGCAGAGGCAAGCTGGGCACCTTGACGGCCTGTGCGGGCCCAGCCTGGTGTGGCTGCCAGAACTGGAGTGGCTAAGGACAAGCTGCTATCAGACCATCTTGGGCAATTTTATTTATTTATTTATTTGTATATGATTTTGATTAGAATATTAAAAGTTAATACTTTCTTTGTACACAAAGAAAAACAAGAAAGTGCAAGAAAAAAAATTAGAAATATAGTGAGGAAAGAGAAAAATATGTAAAGAAATAACTCCCAATCTTCATCACACGCATAGACAAATTTAGTAACTCTGCATGCCCTCCAAGATTACAAATAGATAAGCCCTCATCCCATATCCCTTAATAATAAGCAAATCCATAAAACATCACTTTTCAATCCTGGTATCAGTAAAAAGTCCATAAGAGGTGCAGGAACTATGCAAATTTCTTGTTTTAATCTTTAAAAGATTAATTAAATAATTTAATAAGCCAACTTTGTGCTCTTTCATTTCTAACAGTTTTAATCTTTAGTTCATTCAAATACTGATGTAAAATTTGATTTAGATTCTTTTTCCAACTACTATTTCTTCAAGGGTTTAACAAGACTTTTGTAGATTCAGATCTTTCTTTTGGTTTGCCATTTGTATTTTACCTTTTTTTTTAACACTTCAGCTAGTGTCTTTTCTATAGCCAATAAACATTTTTCCAAAATATTATCTTGGCTTCTATTTGTATTTCCATTTTTGGTACTTTGTCTTGTCAGAAAAAAAAATGTTCCACATCTGTCATTCCCTCACTGACATATTTTGGACAATTTAAGTAATTTAAGGCAGAACCATGACAGTGGAACCCATACAGTCAATTGGAGTAGGGGGCTGCTAAAGATCTGAGCGAACTGTCCCTCCCCTGGGCCTGAAGAGGCAACTCCCTCACGCACACACAACCCGCCTCCCCCGCAGCCCCCTGCCAGCCAAAGAGGAGTGGGGAAGGGCGGTGGCCCCCAGCGGAGGGGGCTCACCCCGCCTCTTGCCAGCCGGTGTCTGTTCCCGCCCGGCCTGAATATTGAAATGATGTAATAAAGACACAAACAGAATGCTGGAAAGGAAAAATATTACATAATCAATTTCTACAAAAGACCCAGGGAAAGTGCATAAAAGTAAAACCTGGCAATGACTTGCAACTGGAACATTAAAAAAGGCTTGATTTTGGTTGCTCAAAAACAAGCTATTTGAATTAATGCAATCAAGAGCAGAATTGAAAAATCAAATGATTCAAAGTGCAAACTGTGCAAATAAGCAGGAAAAATAGCAGGTCATATACTCAGCTCATGCAAGAAGATCGCACAAACTGATTATAAGCAATGACATAACTCAGTTGCCAAAATGATTCACTGGAACAGCTGTCAAAATTGTTATATATCAATAATGAAACATTAGTTGCAACATACAGTTGAAAAACTAATCAAAAATGAGCAGGTTAAAATAGTGCAGGATTTCCAAATACAAACTGATAAAATTTTGGCTCATGATGCACCAGATTTAACTGTGCTTGAAAAGAAGAAAGTATGGATAATTTATGTGGTGAGACCAATAGATAATAGAAGACAAAGAATTCCAGAAGATCACAAAGTATCAAGATCCGAAAACTAAAATTAAAAAATTATGGCATAAACCAGTTATGGTGGTCCCAGTGGTTATCAGCATACTTATGGGTGCTATGCTAAAAAAAATCTTGGACAGTACATTTATTTATCTATCACTTTTTAAACCATCTTCCTCGGAGATGCTTTTGAAGGCCAGCAGCTGAAGAACTAGCAGCTGTGATTTCATATTGTTCTGTACATAATTATTCAATTTATATCCCACCCAACTCAAAGGTCTGAGTAAAAATCCATGTCTTTGGGGTCCTTCAAAACACTAGTAGGGTGCAACCCACTCAAATTTGGGGGGCAGCTTCAATCCAGAGGCCAGGTGCTACTACAGAGAAGGTGTGCTCAGATAGATGGCACTATTTTATCAGTGGAACCCGGAGCGCACCAACCCTGCCAGATTGAACTGGCCAGGCAGATCCTACAGAAGACCGGTCGTTCCTCGAATAACCAGGCCCTGTGTCTGAGTAAGGCTATATAGGCGGTGACCAGCACCCGGAAGCAAAGTGACAACCACTGCAGTTCACAAAGCAGCTTCTGGGTGGTCTTCAAGAACAGCTTCAAGGAGAGGCAGTATCAAGCTGTGAAGAGGACCCCCGATCTAGGAAAGGGGGCAACGGGCGCTTCAGATAAGGCTGGGCAAAGGCCTTCCTAGCCACAGCTGCCACCTACTCATCAAGCAGATGTCCAGAATGGGCAATGGGATTACAGGCAATGGGGAAGTGCCATCCCATCCAAGATTGAAGATGGAATCTCCCCACACCTGGCAGTCTAGAGAAAATTCCTCCTCATCCAAACCTGCACAGCGTCCAGGCACTGGGACACCGTTCCTGGGAGCCTGGCGAAGAAACAAGGACTTTATGATTCAGGGCAGGAGCCAAAGATGACACTGAATAGGAGTTGTGGAGGGGAGGCCAAAGAGCAGAAGCAGAACAGATTCAACGATTTCTTGCAAAAGGACAAAAAGCAAAGTTGTAAGCTTCATGACTAACTCATATAAGGGTCAGAATCAGTGTGTGCACTGCAGCTGCTGGTCATAAAAGAGGTTTTCTCCAGAGAGTAAGATAAGGGATGTGAGGGAGCAGTTTCCCAGCTTATCCAGTGCACCAACAGTTACTCCTTTGTGCTTATCCAGATGGACAGAGAAGAACTCTCTATACCTCTCTAGCTCTAAATTTAGAGGCCATCCAACTCCAAAAGGCTCTGGGCAGTTTACACTTTAAAAAGTAGAGAACAATAACAGAGAAAAATAGTAACAGTAGCAAGAATAACAATAACGGAAAAAAATAATCATGTATGTCCAGGAAGTGGTGCAGGAGATAGGCTTAGTTAAACAAAATGGTACAAAAGTGGCATAAAACTTGGTCTTTGCTTGGAGCTGCCAGTGTTAATATTGCCTTGATGCTGGGGTGCTTTTTAGCTCTCTGAAGGGGAGATGCCACTTTTAGAAGGCAGTACCAATCCCAGGCTGGATGGAACAAGACTTTAGGGTATGTTTTGAGTTCAAGCAAGCTTGTGAGGTCCTTGGTGCTCTTTGAGCTTAGTGGTTTTCTTGCAGATTATTATAGATATTGCATGACCCAACTAGGTAACATCGTCAATGCATTAGTTGGGTAGTGGAACGTCTGCAAGGAAACCACCAAGCTCAGAGAGCACCAAGGACAGTTTAACCTTGAGCTACAAATATTCTCTTCTGTCAGGCAAGCTCCCTTCAAGCAGCCCTTCCCGACGGGCTGGCTTGTTGGTCTCTGCAGTTGTGTCATCCCCCTCCCTCTGCTGATCAGCCTACACCGCTGGCCTGCACAGGGCCTTCTTTGGAATTGCTGGTGTGCCAAGAAACTAGCTGCCAGCAGGTGGCAGCATCTGCCTGCCTTGAAATCATGGCTGATTGCAAAAACCCAGCAACCTGGTTAGTACCTGGTGAAAAGCACCATAAACCCTGAAGCTTGGAAGCCAGACTGGGAAGCTGAAGAAATGTGCACGAAGACAGCAGTGGTGAACTACCGTCCTGCGCCCAGAGAACAACGATGAAATTCTCACCTGCAGGGGACTCTAGAGTCCAAGCTGGCATAAAGATGGGCTTTTGTTGTTTCTATGCTATGCTGGCCAAACGGTGTGCTTGTGAATGAAAGAGAGAAGAAGGATGTTGTTACACTTCCCATCAGAAAGTGGCTTACTGTTTTTTGCAATTTTGTGGGATATCACATAACTGGTCTTCTCTGCTTCATCCCTGGATGTGTGAAGTTTGATAAAAAGTCCTTGTTGGGTTTGCAGCTTAGCTAGCACAGCATCCGATGCCAATGCCAGCTTTGAATCAGTCAAATTCTTGTATTTCTCTGCATTTTTAGTCACCTAGTGGTGATTCAGATTGTAATTCTTAAAGGCAGCAATCTATACTCCACAAATTAATCACACAGCTTTATCTTTTATTTTGGTAAATAAATACTTAGAAGTCCATGTCTTGTTAAAACTCTACATTCTGTATCAATCTTTCTTTCTTTAATATGAGTGACATTTTGAGGGCTTATACCATCAGGGAGGCATATGATTGGCCCCAAATTCATTCTACAGTAGGACAATGGCCTCAAACATACAGTCAATGTCATTAAGAACCATCTTCAGCATAAAGAAGAACAAGAACTCCTGAAAGTGATGGTTTGGCCCGCACAGAACCCTGATCTCAACATCACTGAGTCTGTTTGGGGTTTATGAGAAGACAGAAGGATTTGAGGCAGTCTACATCCACGGAAGATCTGTGGTTAGTTCCCCAAAATGTTTGGAACAACCTTAAAGGAACCTTGCCGAGTTCCTTCAAAAACAAATGCAAAGATCCATATTTGGGGGAAAATATCAAAGGCACAGAGATAGGATGGGAGGACCACAGCACATGGGAATAATGTGAAAAAAATCTCAATGTTTTTGGTATATCACAAGCTGAACATGAGCCAAGAGTGTGATGCAGCTGCAAACAAAAAATGACATGGAATTCTAGGTGCATCAACAAATGATATTGTCAAGATTATACTGTGCAGGAAACGCATCCCTGTAGTAATGGGAGATTTGAACTACCCTGTCATCAACTGGTAAATAAACTCTGCAGGGAGTGGAAGATGGAACAGGTTCCTGACTTGCCTAGCTGACAACTTTGTTAGACAAAAGGTAGAGGAGGGAACTAGAGGGTCAACAATACTGGACTTAATTTTTACTAATAGGGATGAAATGATGGAGAGGGTAGAAGTGATAGGAACTTTGGGAGAGAGTAATTATATCATACTAGAATTCCCCATAATGCTGGGACAGGGACAGAACACAAACTGACTTCAATAAACTAAGAGAGAGATTAGGAAGGATCCCAAGGATGGAAATCCAGAAGGAAAAATAATTCAAGATTTTAGGAAACCCTAATAAATGAAATACTAAAGTCCTAAATAAGAATGTCACAGAGCAAGAAAAACAAAAGACTCTAGAAACCAGCATGGTTGCACAAAGAGTTCCTTCAGTGCCAAGGTCCACCTGAATGCAGTTCCTTTTTGGAAGGTTCTACATGGGAATCTGTAGAATGGGGAAAGGGGGAAACATCAACATATATGTGAGGACATAATCATGCAAATGCTATGACTTACATACACATACTTGCATAAGATGTCCTGCTCATGTGAGTCATCCTTTTTGGTATCATCACAATTAACTGAGATATTGCAACTTCTCACCAACTGTTGCCTTTCTGCCCTCTTCTCTTTGCAGTGGGCCCATCCCTTCTTTCATCTTCCTTAATAACCTATCCAAAAAAGGATCCTTCAGCATGATTCAGTGGGAAATATAAATGTGAAAACATCCATAATGAACCCAAAGATCCAGGTACTTGTGTTTGACAGGCAAAATAAGAGTAAATGATTTCAAAATGCATTTAAAGCTTTTTAACAGAAATAAAACCTAGTGTCAATAAATTAATACGTGTAGCTTGGTAGAATGTCAGAGAATGGAAAATGGCTGGAGAAATTTTAAAATATGAAAAAGCTATAGAAAAGATCATGGCTGGTTTCTTGCAAATAGAATCTTTATTGAGAG